GAAGAGAGAAGCTGGCCGATGAATATCTGTCTGCTCTTCACTTCTGAGCGCTGCCTCACTTATCGGTTCCTGGACGCCCACCCACACATGCACTTCTCGATGGAACGAGCCGCGAGGCTCGCTGGAACGTGACAGCTGTCAGCTGCAACTTTCCAATTTCGAACGCCCATCGGCGTTTCATTGGAAGCCCTGCCAACCAGCCAAACCACAACGGGGCAGCGCGTGTGCCTCTTGACATGGAGGGGGCAGTCCTTGAGCAAAGGCTGCTTCTGCGCGATTTTTAATGGCAATGCCTCGCATGCAGGACAAATCAACAGTTGTATTGATCACAATCTCGACTGAGGGAACGTTTCCTCTTTTCGTGTGCACAGGGTCGAAAGGACATGCAGAGCGCAGCGGCGGGTGTAATCAACTCGAGCAAAATGGATGAAGTTCATGAAATGCAAATGGGGTGCAGTTGTAAAATGAATTGGGCTGCAAGTGATGGGAGGGCACCGTCGTTGGAATGCTCTGGATGAACACGTTCAGGCTTGGTCTTTACGTTTGCGTTTACTTTTCAAGTTTTACGTCTTTGCACGCAAAAACGTAAATTGGCAAAAGGGCCTATTTTTACAGCTATTTTTACGTTTTCACGGCCCCCTGGGCCACCCAGGTTACACGATGAAAGTTGCATACAATGATCAGTCCTCCGCCATCTCCAGCACCCGCAACACAATGTCCACCTCGCCCTTGGCAAGGGTGATGAAGGTGTTTTCCAAAACTCGTTTTTTGCCCCTTCCAGGGAGACTGGCTGCCACTCTCCAGACTCCGTAAGTCTGTGTGTACTGTCTTTATGTACACCGGGCAGTTTTTACGTTGTATTTATGTATTTTTACGCATTTTTACACATAAAAGGATAAAAACTATCTTTACCCGTAAAAACAACGTTTACGGCTAAAAACGAAAATACGATCAGTTTTTACGACGTAAAACCAAGCCTGAATATGTTGGGTTGGTGCAAATCTGCGTGAAGTACAATAAGACAGCCACCGTTCAGCTAGGCAACAGTTTGATGGGCAGAACATCTTTGCAGTACGTGTATTTGTGAGGGCATGTCAATGGCTTGTCAATCGCAGAGCAGTGCGTACGCCAAGTACACCGCGTGGGATGTTGTGTGCAGAGCTGCTTGGCATCCGATGTTACCCGGAGTTCAGGTGTCCTGGCAAGATCTGTCGTCCAGATGTGGCCCTTGTCGGTACCATGGTTGTGAAGCTACGGCGCGGGCGGCTGCGCTGTCGTTGTTGGGTCTCAAACCTGCTCCAGGCGCATCTGCTGGCTGAACGCCGTCGCTCGAAAGATACTGGGGCAAAGGCGTATCGCTGACAGCTGCTGGACGGATGTTCCGATTGGCGCCTGGAGGCCTCTCAAGCGCTGGACACCGCCAACAGCCAACGGGGCGCTGCACACCGTTCCTGCAGCCCTTCCACCGTTGTCATGCAAGAGGTTGTGATTGCTCGGGGGGCTTGTCCATTGCCGTGGGGGACCCCGACACGTTGGCGAACTGGGTTCAGAGGTGACAACGAGCGGCTGCCCGACGGTTTCCACACGGGACCTCCATCCCAGGCGGTACCGCACAGTGTCTCGGACACTGACGGCTTTAATAATGACCACGTTACTTACTGGTCCCGTGGCGGGTGACTGTGCACACAGGTACAAAGGGCGCACAGTAACACGACCATCCCTGTGCGGAGACGGGGGCGCCCGCCGGTTCGTACAGGTTTGCGTACCAGGGGACAGCAACGGCCCCTGCACAGGCAAGGGGCAGATGCTGGTGGATTAGTAATAGATCGAGTGTGCTCACAACACTAAGGCGGCACAGTCATGCGATGACCCTGGGAGCACCCCTGAAAGCGCCTTTTTGTGGTCAAAAAGATTGGCACAGCAACGGGTGACCCCAGGAGTCCTGGGCCAGGACGAGCCCCGAACCTGTGTTGTCTCTTCAAAATGATTCGACTGGGGCGATCACCAAACCCGGGATCGGTACCGCACAGAGTCGCGCAGAAGGAGCGGAAGTGCAGGGGGGCCCCGTCACCGGATGTGGCGGAAGGCGGTGGGTGGCCACGCCGCCAGCGCTGTGTTGTGCTGCGCTGTGCACGGCCCCAGATCACCTCATATGTCCCGGGATGGTGTAAAACGGCCACCTCGTACGGAAGTCAGGTTTACCGCTAAGAGTCCAGGGCAACAGTCACGAGATTTTTTTGACGTCTGCCAAGGAGATCGCTTGACGCGAGTCATCACTTCGCTGTGGCCCGACGCTACAAACAGGCGGGGGGTAGCTGACCTCCAATTGGGCGCTCCAAAAGTCGAGGCAACCGCCAGCTCTCGGGAGACGGCCGGTGCCGACCAACACACAAAGTGTCGAGCCAGCCTTGCGGCTGAGATAAGCGAAACCATTGGAGCGACGGCGGTAGCGATCGCTGGTAAGATTGACCCACACGCCTGCTCTTCGGCAACGGCATTTGCGCATGACCTGACACGCTCCGCAGGGCGCCATGTGGGGGGCGCATCGACCGATCAGTTGCCCAGAAACTGAGAGCCCTGAAACTGAGAGCTGCCTGTCGAGGCGGCGTAACGCCGGCGTGTGGGCCATAATCTGTAGCCTTCTCACACTTAGTCGAGGCGGTGGCGCGCGTTTGGCTCAACCGGCCTTCCCTCCAAGCGGGTTGGAGATGGCGGTCCACGGGGGCGGGGTGAGCCGCTTGCGTCTCTGCGGGGTTGGTGGGTGTCCCCCTTTGGCCGCAGACGGCGAGAGTCGTTCGGGGCGACCGTCGCGCTGGCGAAACGGGGTACTGCGCCCGTGGGGTGAGAGCTGGGCGGTACAGTCATAGCGGAGTTTGTCGAGCCGCAGACGGACCCATCGGCGCGCTTGGGGCGCCAATCTTCGGGACAGCCTGTAGCGGCGCAGGTCCAGGACCGTGGCTGCCTTTGTTCGGCACATGATTCGCAGATCCGACGGAAAATGCCCGCCGCTCCTCGAGGCCGCCCGCATCTGGGCGGCTCCGTGCAGAATGTGCATGCGCCAAAGTCCAGACTGTGAGATTTTGGCCGTGGGCGGCTGGCCACAAACCACGGGTGCGCTCCCGCCGGGGCAGAGGCCCCACGCCCCGCCGACGGTTTGGCCGCCCGGGGGCCGCTCGGTCGCCAGGGTTTCGCGGCGCCTGGGCGCCCGCAGTCGTCGGTGGGCGATTTCACTTTTTTTGATGGGGCCCCTCAAAATGACCACATCGGCATCGAGTCGATCGTCTGCGTGGGGCATGCAGCCCGTCGATGCTCGCGGGCGAGCGGCAGTACAGCCCATGACGGCTCGCCCGGGGGCGAGAGGGCTCGGGGCTCGGACGGGGCGGCTGAGGGCCTCTGTGCGACGTGTGCATGCCAGGTGGCGAGGGCGGGGGGCCGGCTCGCAGGCTGGAGGGAACGCCGGGGTGAGTGCGCGCTTCGTCGCCCCGAGTTGTGACGGGATCAGCGAAGATTTGAGCGCAGCGCATCTGTGCGTGCCCCGGGCGCGCTGGTGGACCAATGGGGACCGCTGGCTTCGTTGTGGTTGCGAAAAGCGCTCGGACTCGTCATGTCGAGCCTCTCGGCGTTCCTCGGGACTGCCGGGCCGTAAACATCGGGCCGCCGGTCCCGGAGCTTCCCCCGGACGTCCCTTCTGAGCGGCCTGCTCTCGCGCGCGCAGGAAGGGCGAGAGGAGCATCGATGCCTTCCTGAGCGCCCCGCGCACCCCCGCCGCCATCGGCGGCGTCCCCTACGACAGCACCCCGGGCAAGGATGACCCCGGCCGGACCGCCAGCGGCGGTGAGGAAGAGATTGATGGCCGCGCCGGGGACGGCAACGAGGGGGGCGAAGCCGGCGACAGGGGCAAAAGGGCCCGAAGGAGGCGCACCCCGCACCAGCAGCACCTGAACAAGCTTTGCCAGCGCAGATACAGGTGCGTCTCGAAGGAGGTACAGCGGGCGCCGCTCCAGGAGTAAGCCCTCGGGCGGCCCGCCTCGGCTTGTTATGTAATACGCGCCGCCCCTTGTCCTGGAGCTCGGGTTTTCCTCTTTAGGGGCGCCGCGGTGGAGGGTCGGCCGGTCGTCGGGACTATGGTGCTGAGCTTGGCCTGTGGCGACCGGCATGGAAAGCGCATGCAAGCGGGGGAGGCGTGCGCGGTCGCTTGCGGTGATTTGTCGCTGCCAGGGGCCATGCGATTGCCGACCTTGTGCGAGGGTGGGGACGGTCACTGGGTGGAGGTGCGACGTCGATGTTGTCTTGTGACGGGCAGGGAGCGTCAGAAGAATAAGATGACGCAAATGGAGGCGATCGTGAAGAGGCTGGATGAGAGGTCCCTCCTTCTGCGGCAGGCGCAGCACGAGAACAGCGCCCTCAGGGACATGAACCAGAGGCTCGAGGTGGTGGTCAAGGAGCAGCAGGAGTTGTTGACCACGCTGAATGAAGCAAGCAAACAATCTGGACTGCCGCCGCTGCGTGTTGGACATCAGGGTATGATTGAAGCGCTGCACAGACACGCCTAGTGCGCCGTTCTTGTAGCGACAAGATAGGACGAGTGCTTGAGTCCGTCTAAGGGGCAAGAATCGGTGGCATATGGTGGGGTTTACTTGGTCCATGCTGACGTGAGGAACCATTCGAATGTCTGACAAACCCATAAGATCCTCTTCACCACCAATAGCACATGATGCAGCAAGCCCTCAAATGGCAACAGCAGCTTCCTGTTAACTACCCATTTCATACAGTGGAGCAACACAATCTGTATCTGCTATTGAAGCACCACCCGTTCTTGTTGCATGAGAGGGCACATCCAAATCAACCAAGGCCAGATTGCAATGCAATTCTGTTCACAAGTTAAAAACCCGAGTCGACGCCCCCTGGCTCGGAATATGCATACGAATGTGAGTTTTCCATTTGTGTAACAGGAAAGCGCAGGTGGGATCATTTCCTGTGCAACGTATTGTTTTGTGGGTTTTGTGTTTTGAGAGACCTTTGTATTACTGGTGAGCAAAGCCCACCTGTGCCTGTGTCCTCGGGATGCTACCCTGCTGAACATAGGGCAACCTTGTTCGCTTACCTTGCAGTTCCACATGCGCCGGAGACTCCCACCACTGGTCAGCGATGTGCCAGAGGCCATTTGGGTCCTGGTGCCCAGCCCATACAGAAAGCAGCATCTGTGCAACAGCATCCAGGTCGCCTCATCTCTACTTGGTCTCCCACCCAAAATGAGCAGTCCTTGGTGGTGGAGCCTCAGAAGCGTTTGTTCAGGGCGTCCTCCGCACCTGGGGACAACAGGCTGGCAAAGGTTCTTCCCCCTTCACACTCTTGGCCTGGGGACAACGTGTGGACGTTGGATAGCGCAGCAGTGGGCGGAGATCAGCAGTCATCTGGGCTGTCAGCATCAGGCACACTGATCGATCCAGCAACATGGGGAAGGCTGAAGCCTGCTGGGCATCCTCCGCCCTCCTGGTCTTCAGCTTGTGGCCACAGCAGGCCCCCACCAAATATGTACAATAAACCGATCACCACAGGACACCAGCTGCACGATGACATGCCACTTGGTGGTGCCTATGTTGAACCGGAAGGCGTAGATGGGACCGCCATTACCACATCTGCCCAGTCCCCCCATGCCATGCTGGTAGACGTAGAGGGGCCGTCTGTGGAGCAGCGCTCCTATGGTGCCTCTGGCCTCCAAGTCCACTCTCCTAAAGTCTTCCTGTCTGGATGCTCACCCACGATGCAGTCAGTTGGCATGCCCCCAGCCAGTGTGGACGCCGCCGCAATGGATCCCATGTTGCAGCGGACTGAACAGCTCGGCTTGGTGACCGCTGCACCTGAAAACATTAGAATCATAACCCAGGAGCTGGGAGTGCGGGTGCAGTCTCTTCGCAACCTTCTAGAGGCCAATGCCATCTTCATGGGTGGTGTGCAGGCAAGCGAAGAGCTTGTTCGAGTGCTGGGGAACATGTTGTCGAGTGTGGCTGAGCTTGCTGTCAAAATTGTGACGTCAAGGGACCCAGCGACGCCCACTTTTGGAAGCTTTGTTATGCCGAAGATGCCAGAAGATTTGGCGCCAGACGAAAGGGAGGCCTGGCAGAAGTGTGTGACAATTCTGAACTTGAGTTCACGGCAGAAGGCCACGATACTTAATCTGAGAGCAGAGCACCTGCACTGCCTTCCAAAGATTTATGAGGAGAGGGCGCAGCTCAATGGAAAGGTAAACTCTGGCAGTGTATGCCTGCACATGTTTAACAACAGGTTGTGTGGGTCAGACTGCCAGCAGATTCTCTCTTGATTTTATGTCAGGACCACATCAGGACATTTTTAGTTGACACCTATGTAGCTGAATGCCTGATACTCACTGCCAAGACTTTTCAAGCCATGTGCCAGCCTGTAGAAATAGTAGAAAGCTCATTGTGATGCGGCGTCCTGCTCAGGTGCTGATCATAAGAGTGGATGGTCTTGCAGGCAAGGGCAATTATGCAGGCATCCTGCAACCCACTAGGGCCTGCATCGCCAGAGTTGAGGCTTGTTTGGGACCAAATCAAACTCAACATCAGGCAGGAGCACCAGGTGGTGGTTGAGGGCCTTCACATGCTGCTCTTCAGCATACTGGAGCCAGTGCAGGCAGCGCTGCTGGTGGTGGAGGCACACCCGGTGGTTGTCGAACCTATGAAGTTGGGCTCTGCCATCTTGAGCCTTAGTGTAGACAGTACCCAGCGATCGAGCTCAAGCTCCAGCCTTGGGGCACTCAGTCGCCATCGCACTGCATTGGATTGCTGAGCATGCCGCTGCTGGTGTTACTGTGTACCAAGATTGCTGCCAGCCCGGATGGGCAGAGGGCATTTCAGGACGTGTGCCCGACTTCGGATATCAAACGCCCAGGGTTGCAGAATAACTTGCATTTTTTACAGAACTGGTGCATCTATCCATGTGCCAAGTGCAATTTTTGTCATTACTTGTAGGCGGGTCAGGAATCAGAGGGGGGGAGGGGGGGGGGGGGTAAGAGGCAAAACATGGGGGTGTGGGTACAAGGTCAGTTGCCTGGGTAGGTAGAAGTGTGAGACGGATGCCATCTGGCTTTGGTACCCATGTTCCGAACCATTGTTCAGTATTGGTGGCTGGTGGCAGAGAAGTCTGGGCTTCGTAAAAGGCTTGGCAATGTTGATCTGAATCTGTTGCGAAAACAAAAAATTGCCAATTGGGATCTGAAGCGGCCGCTGTTTGCGAAGTTTGAACGATGTGGATTGAATCCGTGTGTGCTTCCATTTGCCGCTAGTCGGCACAGCTGTGGAGGCATGTGATGGCCAACCGCTCAGGAGGGGAAAAAACGGGTATTGAACAACTGCGGCAGTCTAGCACAAACGCCACAGCGAAGCGAGAGCCAGGGGGTGACTCGCAAACGGGAATCGAAACAGGTGGTGTCAACTGTCCTGAATTTGCGTCGAATCGACAACGTGCACAAAAAGGATTGAAACTGTTTTGGAATCACGCCTGAGCACTGTAGATGGTGCGGACACTATCGAAGGGTTCATCAGTTTAGGCGTTTTTCGTTCATTCTTCTGTGTATGCCGAGCTCAGCATCATCAGAATAATCGTGGACGCAGGGATGTGCATCTCCAGGCGATGACAGCTCTAAGTGTACAATAATGTGCAATAAAATGGGATCATTGCTGCACTTCAGTTTGTTCTGAATGCCTGGCTGATGACATTGGCGACTTCATAGTGATCGTCTGTGGTGTTTGCACATTGGATGTCAAGTTTTTTATGGGTGACCTGATCTTTGTTTGGGCAAGTGTGCAGATTGGGCCAGAACGGCATTGTCCTGGGTGCTTTTGCAGTGTGTCTCAACCCCTCGTGTAAGCATGAACTGCCAGGTTTGCGGATGTTAGCCTGTTGTGGGACTTGGCGTGCTGTTCAATGCTGTCGGCCTTACCAGTCTCCTCCCACCTACATATTTCACACATAACAAGGACATTGCATCCCAACTCACTTGGTGTCCATCACTATCATATACAAGAGGCTCCCAAAAGGACTGTTCTTACATGCCACCAATTTGTTTCAAGCATCGGACTACAAGGTGGCAATTGACGGATCCAGCTCAGTGGTCAAAACTGGTATTCCGCAAAGTGTTGGAATTCACACTGCTGAGGTTAGTGCTGTCTTTCTTCAATCCATTGTAGCCGAATGATGCGTCTGTGTTACAACAGATGCAACGCCTTTGGTGAAACAGTAATGGATCAGCATTATAAGTGTTGAATATATGGCAGGATCTTATATCATATGCTGGGAACGCGGCTAAGAGCGCCCCGGAAATGAATTTTTAAAAGTCTGACTCAGCGTTCTTGTGTAAGAATCGACCCCTGTGACATGGGGGTTACGTGAGTGGCGGGACTCTCCGAGTCGGGTGCTGCGGGCATGCGTTCCCGGGTTCGGCTGGGGTGGCTGCGCTCGAGGGCGGCCGACGGGAGGCGGGCGGCTATCGGTGCTGCAGCTGCGGCGCGCCGTGTTCGTTTGCACTCGAGGCGTGTGTTCCCGGTGCGATCCCGCGTCGTCGTGGCGTTCTCGGAAAGTCGTGGGTGTGTCTGGATGTGAAGGCGATGGCGTGGTGTGAGTCCGACAAGGGGGCTCGCCAAAACGGGCGCTGCTTCCAAAGCGCAACGGGGTTAGAAACGCAGCTTTCTGAAGCCGTTCCCATGGCGCCCATCACCCCACCGACCTCGTCGCGTGTTCCTTTCGTCCAATCATGCGGGCGCATGCGAGGCCGTGCACCATTGGTGCAAGTTCCGACCATCAAGAACAGCAAACCAAAATTTTAGTTGCCTTCCACGTCTGGCTGTGCCGCGAAGCTGCTCTTGAGCCTTGCGATGGCACTTAGCGATAGCCATCGGTGTGGCTATCGCTGCGCGGAGCGTAATTGCCGTATCATACGCCTTGCCGCCCAGGGCCAAGGGGCCCAAGGGTGGCACAAGGGAAGATCGTTCAGTGGTAGGTCAAGAGGGAATGTTGCGATCGGGAAGGGTGCAGCAAGAGCTCCATCCAAAGGGGGATTCCTTGGGAAAGGTGAGGCCAACAATCCTGCGGTGCATCCTGGCGATGGTGGGGAATTCCATACCTAAAAGCGGTAGGATGGCGGGCATCTCCGTGGAGTTATTACAGGTACGCTCAAGGGTGGTCGACGGGAGGGGCGCAGCTGTCGCTGTCGTGGCTGCGGTGCTCGGTGCCCGCTTAAGCTCGACGCGCGTCTTCCGGCGCGATGCCGCGTGACTGCGGCGGCCAGGGCTGATGGCCGCAGCAGTGATGGCTCGCGTCCCAAAACTCAATGGTCGAAGTTGCAGCCCCCGACAAGGACTCCCCGTGCAGCATAGCGGGAGCAAACTCACGCGGCGGTGCCGTGCAGCCCTCGGCGCAGCGACAGTGGCAAAGGACATAGCGAAGAATGTGATGAGCAAATCGACAGGGAATGGAAGACATGAACAACGCAACAGCGCAGCCCAGCCTGGCCAGCGAGTTAGTTGCTTTGATTAAATAGCATAGGAACGAAAAAGTGCAAAACGTCGGGGCCGAAGGCCCGACTTCTGGACTGGTCTAATATTATAAGCTGGCAACGCGGCTAAGAGCGCCCCGGAAATGAATTTTGAAAAGGCTGACTCAGCGTTCTTGTGTAAGAATCGGCCCCTGTGACAGGGGGGGTACGTGAGTGGCGGGGCTCTCCGAGCCGGATGCTGTGGGCATATGCATTCCCGGATGGCGTTGGTGGGTGCGCTCGAGGGCGGCCGACGGCAGGCGCGCGGCTACCGGTGCCGCGGCTGTGGCGTGCCGTGCGCGCTTGCGCTCGAGGCGCGCGTTCCCGACGCGATTCCGCGTCGTCGCGGCGGCAATGGAGACCATCGCCGGCGCGGATCGTCAAAACGGCGATGGCCCGCGCCCAAACGCGCGGCTCGGCATTGCCGTTCCCGCGAGGGCTCCACTCGAGCCACGGAGGTACTCCAGAGCCTTCCAGCGCTCTGCTGTGGGAGGCATCGGCGCAGCGATCGCGGCACCGGATGCAATCAGCGCGCCCCTGAGGGCCAAGCGTTTGGGGCCCCCGGGCCCTGGAGTTAAGTTTGGGAAAGCGGAGAGCGGGTGTGCAGCTCCCACTCGGGTTTGGTTGCGTGCTTGAGCGCGAGCACGGGGTGGGGTGTGGACCTCCGCCATCGCGATCACAGCGCGCTGTGTGTATTAATCACGAGCTGTGAGTGTCGAATGCGCTTTGGCCAAAGCCATGGGTCGGTTGAGGGCAGTGCGGCAGTGGCGATGGCTTGCGAATCACGCCCATGGCGATGGCACGTGACGGCGATGGTGGTGCCGGCAGAGGCCTCGCCGAACCCAGCGCCGTCTCTCGAGGTGCTGAGTTGTGCGTTGCGATAGTGGGACGCGATTCCCCGTCGTCGCGCCGGCGATGACGGCCACCGCCAGCGCCGATGGCCGCAGCAGCGATGGCTCGGGTCCCAAAACTCAACAGTCGAAGTTGCAGCCCCACGCGAGGGCTCCCTCCGGCGCGGGGAGCTACTCCGTTTCCCTGAACGCTCTCTGCCGCGACAGCCATCGGGACGGCAATGGCGGCACGCGAGGCAGTCACCGCCCACCTCAAGGCGAGGCGTTGAGGCCCCTAGGCCTAGGAGCGAGTTGATGTGTTTATTGCGGAGGTCGGTGGCGTGGGTCCCGCCCAGCCCGATGGGCGTGCTTGAGCGCGAGCACGGTGTGGGGTGAACAACCCCGCCATCGTGACTACTGCGCGCGATGTGTGACAATCACAAACCGAGATTGTCGAATGCGCTCCAGCATCCGTCCGTCAATCAGCCGACCTGGCTGCAGCGGTTGTTTTTGCAATCCAAACGTGCGGGTGGAAACGGGATCCGCGGAAGGGCTTCCCCAAGATTTGTTGTCGAAGGAACAACATCAACTGCGCAGCCCAGGCACCGAGTGAGTAGGCTCTTAATAGCGGGTGAAGTAGGAACGAAAAAGTGCAGAACGTCGGGGCCGAAGGCCCGACTTCTGGACTGGTAAAATATGTTCTGCCGTCGCTGCCCAAGATCATTGTTCATGATTGTTGCACATTTTATGTTCGGACATAAAAAATCAGCTTCAATAGGGCTGAATGGTATAAAGGTGAAATTGCTTCACCAACAGCACTCCATTGCTGCTCCTCTGCACGTAACAGAGAGGGCACAAACACAGCCCCACCTGTAGGTTGTCTTGGCTGAACCCCCAGTGCCTTGGGGCCTTGGGCTGGAATGGGGTAACCGTGAGTCCTTCCTTCACAGTATGGCAGCATCGGTACGAAGGCACCCACCCGTGAGATACTACGAAGGGAGCCACCCAGCGGCACGATGGCCTATGGCCACTCGGCCTCTAATGCAGCGGCCCGAACAGAGGTGCATCAAGTGCACCCTGCACACGTTGGGCTGGCTCCGAACGGCACCCTGGGGACGAGGGTCGTAATGCCTTCGGGTCGTGTGGTAACGGGGGAGCAACGTCTTCGATGCGGGCACTCATCCTGGATAATTGGCGCACAGACAGCAGAAACCAGGGTCACACCCATTCGAGCGCCGAAGGGCCAGCCTGGCGGCCGCAGACCCGGCTGCCCCCTCGAACAAACCTCCTGTCGGTGTGTCGAATCAATCAGCAGGCCGCAGCCATGCTTTTCACGCAGCCGTCGACTCCAGTACAGTGGTCGAAGAGGTGGACCGCTGCCACGTGGGCGCTGGCCGTCCTACACGCATTACTACGCCCTCTGGCGGTGTCGGGGCAATCCGCCTTGGGTCGGACGAACCCCAGACTGCCGCGCCGCTTCCCAGGAAGGTCCCGGCTTTCAGGCCAACGCCCTCCCACTCGCCTTAGCCGCCCACCCCCTAGCCCCTCAGCCTGTCGGCTGCCCCGCAGGCGCGGGACATGGCCGACCCCGCCCCAATTTCCGGCGGCATGTCCACGACGAGTGGACCCCTGGGAGATCCAGCGCCGATGGCCGGCATCATGACCGGCCTGGGGTCGGACGAGCCCTTCGGGAACGCGCCCTTCGACGACTCGTTTTTCGACGCCTACCTGCAGCAGCTGGAGCTCAGAGGTGCGGGGCAGACCGCGGCTTTGGCAGTTTTCCCACCAGCCCGGCCCTCCCCCACACCTCTGCGCAGATGGCCGGCAACTCGCTCCCGGCTGCCGGGCCCCCCGTTTGTGGTACTTTGTGTGACGGCCCTGTCGCCTTCCCCACCCCCCGCCTGACGCTGAGCCGCCGTGTATGGCCGTGGACCCAGCATCCATGCCGGAGCCCATGCTCACGGCGCCCATGTCGGCGAACATGGCCACGGGCCCGCACAGCCTGCGCGTGACAGAGCCCGCCCATCAGCCCGGCGTCGTGGAGCCCCCCCTAGATTCCAGGTGCGCCCTCCCGTCCCCGCCCCCGCCAGCCGGCCCCCGCCGATCGAGCCAGGCCGTCCGTTGGCAGTTTTGCGCCGCGATTTTTGCGATTGCCGATTTTGCGCAGGATTTTCTGATCCGGCAGTTTCCGTTGTGCGCGCCGCCTTGACCTCGTTGATGGGTCAATCGTGCCGGAGCTGGCCGTCCCCACCCAATACCTCACGCCGATCGATCCAGACAGCCCGTTTGCTGTTTGGCGCCGCGATTTTGCGATTTGTGCAGGGTTGCCTGATTTGCTGGTTGGGCGGCTTTCCTTGGGGTGCGCAGCTTTGACCTCGTGGAGAGGTACCTGGTGCCGGGCCTGGACGAGGGCGGCGATCTGCAGGACCTGGCGTTCGAGGACGAGGAGCTGGAGGACGCCTCGCCGGAGCTGTCGCCCGGCGCCAAGGCCGCCAAGAAGGCCAAGCAGCGGCCGCGGTCGGACAAGCAGCAGGAGCTCAACAAGCAGGCCCAGCAGCGGTACAGGTGAGCCTGGCGACAGGGCCGCATATTTGACCCTCTATGCGCAGCCAGGGAAGTCGCCGGGCGCAGGGGAGATGTTATGGACGGCTGTGAAGACCCTCCCCATTGCAGATTTGGCAGCAGTGTGACAAGTGGGTTGAACGCTCCGCTCAAGGGATGTTGGCGGAGGCTTTATGCCAGCGGGAGGAGAAGCGCCCTGACGGTGGCGATTGTGTTTGTGTGCGTGTGAGCAGGGAGCGGCGGAAGCAGAAGTTCATGGAGATGGAGCGGCAGGTGGAGGAACTCACACGGCGGGTGGGGGAGCTGCAGGCCGTGGAGGGCAAGAACATGGTGATCACCCGCAGGAACGAGTACCTGGAGAGGCTGGTGAAGATCCAGCTGGAGGAGATCAAGAACCTGAAGCGGGAGGTGGCCCTGCAGGCCAGCGAGCTGGAGCACAGCGGTGAGGGAGCAAGGACCGCGGGCGGTTGCTTGCGTTGTTCACCCCCGCGTAAGTGGGTGCGCCGGTGTGCGCGCCCTCATGAAGTGTGCTCGTGTGTGGTACGAACGCGCTTCGAATGGTGCCTTGTCATCACTCTTTCGAGAGCTACGCCGGCCGACCTTTGGTGGAGCAAATATTATTGGCTGACGATCGTTGTTGTCATTGGTGCTACGGTTGTTTCGCTTTTTCTACCTTTGACAATGATGACCCCCCACCCGCACGCACTGCGCAAATGCAACGAACAGCACTCTTTTCAATATTCCCACAGATGCCCATTGCCATAAAATATCAACCCTTCCGCATCGGATGTTTTCACTGTTACGCCTTTTTCTCCGCATTTTGCTTTTCAGGGCGTTATTCCTACTTTTTTAACGTTGCCCCGCACAGAAAGGCCAAGATTTGCATCACTATTTATAATGGCTTCCCCGCAAAAAAGACCAATCGTTACGTTTTTGTGCGGAAGGGTTTAATTTTGTGCAGTGTGTGGCGCGCAAAGGCGTATTAAACACCAGTTTACTATGCTTCACTTCATCCTCGAAAAGCGAACGCCATCTCCAAGGGACAGCTGGTTGGGAGCAAAGCAAGGTGGATGGCGGTCTTTTGGCCCCCCTGGTGTACAAAGGCTGCCTGCTGATGAAGAAAAGCGCACCAAGGCACCCATCAGAGTGCAGCTCTTTGCTGCCTTTGAAACTGGTGCTAAAAGTACGCAGTTTCCTTGGCCCACATTCAGACGCAGCCAGTCCTGCACAGAGTGCATGATGCATCCTGAGACTCTCTGTTCAGATTCCCGTTAACTACCGCTGAGTGTATCAATCCGGCCACCAAGGTCACAATGTCAATGATCATTTTTGTTCTAGAGAAGTACATGTTCCATATGGAGACTGGGAATCAGGCACACAGCAGTTGCGCACACATGTTTGTATGGACAATAAGACACTTACATGCGTATGGTGCAGGCGAACAACGGCCTTCACATTTGATCGCGACCGATCCTGCAAAGCTGCGCGAACAACTCGCCAGCGATGTTCTGTCACTGGACACAGTGCTGAAGTCCAACGGAGTGGACAGAGGTCCAGCACCAGCCCTACCAGAGCAAGCCCTCAAGGTACATGATGCATGCACGCCGTTTCCACTCCTCTCCTGGGACTTTCGATTAGCAGTCAAGGATCTGCTTTGCTGTGTCGGGTTTTTGCATCTCTTAGATAGTGGCAACAGTCTGGTAGCGACCACAAAGGAATGGGTGTATACCCAAGCTCTGCGGATAGAAATCAGTGGTAGGCATTATTTTGGTTCTGTTGTCCATGTGGAGTACCCATTCAATACAGTGCGCCTTGTTGGGAACACAGCTTTTTGGCATAAACTATCACCAACAATTTTCTTATGTGGGAATTGGGGTCACTGCTCTTGCTCCAGTTCCCACTTTCATATTGATGTCTGTGGCCCGAGAAAGCACTGTCTTTCGTCAAAGGGCCTTTGTTCCATGCAGTGTTGAATTCTTTCATGCACGTGAATTTTCATATCTCCTGTGTCATAGTTGCTGAGATTCTGACTTGCATTGTGAGTGGATTTGCAAATGTGGCGAATCTTCTTCTGTTTCACAAGCATAGTGGTGTATGTGTGTGTCCTGCAGTTCTTCAGGAAGAAGGTGCTTGACATTTGTGACATTCATGTGCGGTTGCCATCAGTGGAGGTCCCTGAGGCTGCAGACATGATGTCCCACGCAGCCAAGAGCACCGCAGACGACAATCCGCAGGTGGAAGAGTGTGTAAGGAACCTTGGGCTGAACAATGAGCAGACCAGTGTGATCTTGAAGATGCGTGAAGATCATCTGACCAGGATGCGACACGTGTACCTGGATAGGTCTGCCCTGAACATGAAGGTAAGCAGTATCACTGTCAGGTTTGCACGCCTTGTTGCAAGCAGTGTGAATCTGTGGGGCACTGAAATTTCATAGGATTATTATGCTGTTGTGCTGCTGGGATGCATTTGGTGCATGTGTGGCCAACTTGTGTATTTGCTGTTTCTCCCTGTCTTGTGAGCTCACATCGCATATTTTGTATGATGCCGTGTTGCTGGAAGCGATTCTGCACTGCAATGATGCAAAGTGGCAGGCTTGTCTGCAAGCAGGAAAACTGCAAGTAATGTATCTGTCTCTGCAAGCATGTACTGCACTTGTCCTAGTGGTGACACAGCACAAATACAACAGAGGAACAAGCCCTACATGGATTTTGGAGTTGAGGGAGCCATTCCAAGCACATTTTTTGGTAGGGAGGGTGGGGCACAGTGTCAAATGGGGAAAGTGTCATCAGGGGCACAATCATGGACATCAACTCAACGATGAGAGGAGGGGCATTCGCGGTGCAGCATGGGAGTGAATATTGGCCCTTACGCATTTACAAGTAATATGCTGTCTATTCACTACTCGGGGATAAGAAATGTATGTGCACGAAAGGGTTCTAGGTTCCCAACTGGAATTAAAGGAAGGCATAGCGCATGCCTTGTGAATGTGGGATCATATCTGGGTGCAAGGTTTTAGGGTATGGGCAGGTTAGATTTTAGTTTCCAGGGATTATGTCACTGTATTGCCAGTATGTTGGTGTTTGCATCAGTGAGGTACAAATTGGTGGGCAAGGTTTATCGTCAAGGAAGGCTGGATTTCCGCTCTGTTGAGTGTAGAATAGATTTAACATATTTTTGGACAAGGTTAGGCTGTGCACCTCAAATTTACTGCTGCTGTGTGTACAGCAATATGGTGGCTTCATGAGGCGTCTTGGCAGGAAATTGTGCGCGCAAGTGTTGAATTTGTGCACGAATCAGCGCCTGCATGCACAGATCAAAGGCAGGTTGTGCCCTGAAGTGTTCTTGTAAATTGTGTTGGCTCTGCCAGGCGATGGGGCTAATGCTGCCTCACCCCCTCAGTGAAAAGGATGGGCCTTTCGATGCAACTATAGATGGAAAGATCAACTGCCAGCAGCAACGTGGGTATCACAGGTGCAAGGACGGAGACAATCAGCTGACCTTGGTGCTCAACGAGATACGAGAGAATTTGCTCAGGGAGCAGCACAGCTTCATGGAGATGGTGACTCACCTGCTGAGCCACATACTGGATCCTGTGCAAGCTGCGCTTGTCCTGGTGGCCAGTCATCCAAGCACAGTTGATGCCTTGATGGTTGCGAACATCTTGGCTGCACAGCACAGCAGTTAGTAGGCACTACGCAGTGGGATGGCTTTGTCTACTGGCCTTTGCTTCATTGTGCCAACAGCGTAGCTCAGGCATGGGCTCTGTCAAAGACAGAGATGGGATATGAGAGACCCTTCAGAACATAGCTTGTAAATCAGAGCAGCAACTGCAGCATATGAGCGTAACTTGCGCCACAGTGTGTTTCGTTGCTGTTGAGTGTACTGGGCTCCTGGGACTTGGTGTTTGTTGATATGTGTTTTGCAGGCCCATGTCTGCTGCTGCACCATTTCTTTTGCCGGGTTTATTTCCATTGCATTTGATAATGAACGAATGATATGCGGCAAATGAGTGTTGGCTATCCCAAAGGAGGGGTCGAGGGGGTTGGATTGCAACGAAATTCATGATGGAAAATTGTAAAGGTGATACTGGCATTGTTGTGAGTACTTTGCAACGTCCACCTTGATTCACTGTGAGCGAGACAACTGCGTTTTGGGTTGGACGATTATGAGCAGAGCCAGGGGGGCAGCATGGGGCTGCTGGACCAGAGATGCATGAAAAGTGGCCTCCACAAGAGATCAACAGGAGCAAAACGCTCTGGTCTGGACTCCAGTTGAAAACCTGCATTTTGTACAGGAGCACCTGGATCCTGCCCTGTGGTGTCTCGTTGCTTCTTAGTGTCATTAGCACCATCTCAGTGTCATTAGCACCGCATCTGTAACATGCTTCTGGCTCGGTAGACATCAAATCACTGTTACCATGTTCCAGATACCTTGAATTCTCTCAATTTGCTTGCATCAGTGCAGTTCGACTGGTCGCTGTCCCCAAGGTACTTTGTGTACACAGCCTAACCCAATCAAATATCACAACCCCAGTTGATGATACTTCTTGAGGATGGGCAACCGAGTGCAGCAAGCGTCTGACCTCACCCATTGTGCCTGCACTCCCATTTTGGAATCTGGTTGGAAATGAGAAGGCATGAATCTTGAATCAGGACAATTCCTCGTCCTCTGGAGGATCTGGATGGTTCATGCAAATATGTCGCTTTGCATTCTATATGCTTTGATGTGTCATTCGCCCACTATCCACTTGTCAGACAAGCATGCCATGGTGCATATGAAACCCATTCGACATACACGAAGGTTGCATTAGCAACAGCCACGGCGAGCACACAATGGTTGTTGTTCGTAGTAACTGTTAAATTGACTTCTGTTGGTCAGACCGTCAGTCTCGTGCTGTCTTCTGTGTTTTGTGTGTTTGAGGTTGATGTCGTTACAAAACCAGGGGATGCGGCGTTTACTCCCACACAAAACCACTGGCATATTCTCTGCATGGGTGTTCATGAATTGGTGGAATGTTCTTGAGCGAGCGACAAACTGTGATACTGGCTTGACTTTCTATTTTCACAGCATTGAGAATGCAACCACCTCTCAACGAGGCGTGCAGCCACAAATCGCACTGCTGGATTGCTTGACCTTGAAAGAGGCAACAGCGTCGAAACAACGCAGTGGCTGGATTCTCTGATTTGGCCCTCCACATCAATTAACGCATCACCGCGACATCCTGCAGATGACCCTCAGCACCACTTCTCTGTGAAGAGTACCATTGCAGAGATAGCTTCGCCACTGCCACAGCCACTTTATGTGTCAATATTATTTTGCCGCGCGAGCCTGTGGCGTCATCCTTGCTTAGGCATCTTGGTATTGCTCCCATGGCCTATTTTTCTGCTACGCACTTGTGGACAATGTTGGCACTGGTTTCGGTTTCAATTGTCGTTGCGATGGGAGGTGCTATTTAGCGGCGACTGTGCAGCCGCTGAATGCGACCAAGAAAGTGGATGCAGCTTCGTGGTGTCGTCAGCGTGCTTTGCTTTCAACGCACTCGCCAGACCCACGCCACTCCTTGAAACGCCCATCATAAAAGGGGAAAGCCAAGGAGCACAATGCATCAGGACAAACGAGAAATATTTTCCGCGCTGTGCACCTGTGTAGACCAGTGAGGGAAAAGAGATACTCGGCAAGTGCCATTGTCCTTTTATCCTTCAGTAAGCAAATGTAATATCCATGCAATGCTCTTTTGTGAGCACGTAGCATGGATGACGACTGCGCTGTTCTGGCACCATCCACAAACAGCCCGACCTGAAGCAAACTAAACCTAAACCCAAACCCGCAGCGATGGTCGTGAGATTCCGCCCAAGTTGGTGATTGGATGAATGCGTTTCGAATGATCTTTTCCCCAAAACAGCCGGTCGCTGATGCGAAATCGGGGTGTCCCAAAAAATGCGGATCACGGGGATGATGTCCGATTCAAAGCCCATGCCACCTGCGCATCAGCAGCGCCGTGCGCACGCCCCTGGCGCCCTCCGGGCCTACCGACCGCCCCCTCCCCCCTTGCCCGCGTCCACGGCCACCACGGGCAGCCATGGACGTGGACGGTGACGCCTTCGACTCGCTGGAGCCCTGCCCAGACATTCACGCGCTTTTCGCGCTGTACAATGACCTCTACTTCGGCGGCAAGCTGGGAGCCTGCGTTGTGGAGTGGAGCTCAAGCCGCATGACCCTGTAGGGCCACGGGCGCAATTTCTTCGTGGGCGGCGTTAATTACGCAGAGCTGGGGCTGCATCGCGCAGCCCAAACCCGTCGTCGGGGGCCGCTGAGCGAGGAGGCCCGTTGGCTGGGGGCATTGCCGCCTATCTTCGAATGTTCTTTTGACCTGGTCCATCCCGGCAGCTGCGCGGCGGGCGCCCCGATCTGCCGATCCGGCCCGTGATTTGCGCTGCCATCTGAAATCGTCGGGGGGCGGGACGGTGCGCGGCTGGCACGGCGGCGGTCTGACTCCAGGGCGGCGATTGCGCGGGGAACAACGGCGTGCAACGCCATGGTCGGAACGGCCGCTCCTGTGGTTGGCTGAGCCCAGCCGTGATTTCACCTGCTCACTGTGTCTCGTCTGATTGACAGAACCCCAAATCAGAGGCTCTACCCACTCTGGGAAATGCAAACTCTTTGACATTGGGGACTAGACTCTGTGACACCTTTTTGGCCTTCTGAGCGGCGTTGCCGTGCATCGATTGTCCCAAGATGTCCGCGGTGGCGTCATAGGAGTCCAGGTTGGGCTGTTTGGCTGCAACATGTTGAGGCCCATGTGGTTGGTGGTGTCGATGGCGTGCTGGACGGCCGTTTTGAATGAGCTTTTGCCTGCGAAGGTGTGCTGGGCAGTGCAGCTACCACACGCACGGCGGTTGCCGTGTGGTGTTGTCGGAGCCTCTGCTGAAGGTACAGGGCGGGAGCCGACTAGGCGGCTGGCGTTCTGCTCTTCTGCGCGCATTGGGCGTGGCTGGCTCCTTGCCAGACCGCGATCCAGTACTCTGATTGGGCTGGTTGCCTGTTGAGTCCGCTGAATGCGTTTGCCAGAGAATTGACAAATGACAGTGGCAGGCGTCGCAGCTTGCCGTGTTCCCATGCAGTCAAGTTGGGCTGCTGATTGTCGTTTCCCTGCACCAGTGTCAACCTGGAGGAATATGATGTGTCCTGCAGTATCGTCCCACCAAGGACTTGAAGGAGACGCTGCTCCATGAAATGATCCACTCGTACATTTTCCTTCAACGCATAAAAGACGATGGAGGCCACGGAACCAAGTTTAGGGAGTTGATGAACTTCATAAACACGGCCACGTTCCCAGATTCGCAGGTGTGAGGAATATGGGACAGAAATGGGGAGGCACAAATGCACCCAACAGCAGTCTCTGTTGTGTTTCCTGTGGAAATCGGAGCAGATGGACAATATGAGCGATCGTTGTTGCCTGATATTTGCATTGATATGTGGGGCAACAACTGAGACTAAAGTCAAGGGGTTTTTGATGTCTTATGTTTCAATTTGGTGCTTCAGTGAACCAGCTCACACTGAAACATTTGGGCAGGCGCATTGTTTCCTGGGCTGAGCATTTTTGTCATCGTGAACTTGGATTGCTTCGTGGTGCAGCGCCCCCCAAGTGGATACAATGTGACAGTGTATCACGGCTTCCATGGGGAAGTGGCTCAGTACAGAACTCACTGGTGGGAGTGCGAAAAATGTGGAAACACGGTCAAGAGAGCCACAAACAGGCCACCCCAGGAGGCGGATTGTCGACGCAGGAAGATCGTTGACAAGCAGTGCCAAGACCCATACTGTGCCTACCACATGCACATCAAATACTGTGGCGGTCAGTACAAAAAGGTGAGCAGTGGAGAGTCAGGCAAATAATCCATTGATGGTCTGTGAAACATCTAGAATGCCAAATATCTCGTGGCTTGGAAAGAGATGGTCGTTGAGCAGCCTGCCTTGCTGTCCTGGGGATGCATCCAATTTATTGACAGTGTTGCCAGCCTAGCTGAGCCACATATCAACTTTCTAGCTCTCCGCCCTGGCTTCAATCAATTCCTTCCTGGTGTATCCCTCTGGTGCCATTTTGTGCATTCGCCTGTGCAGTCCTTGCTCCTCTGCTGGCAGTGTCCTTCATACATGTGCTCTTTAGACATTCTTGTGACTCTGCCTTGGTTGATATTATTATATTTTTTGGCCACAGCCACCTGTTTTGCTCCTCAGGCAAGGTGCCTGAGAGGCTTGCATGTACCCAATACTGTTGTAGCTTTGGACAATTTCTATTGTTTGCACACCAGACCAAGGAGCCAGAGGGATATGGACGAAAACGACAACGACCGAGAGATAACAGCTGTGATAATGTTGGGGATCACTCCAAAAAGCAGAAGCAGAAAGCCACCTCGACACCTATCACCAAATATTTTGGCAAAATGCAAGACACTGCAGCTGCAGGCTCTTTGGATGCTGAAGAGAAGCCTGCAGGTCAGCATGTGGTGTGGCGCAGCTACTCTTTGACAAACTGCAACTTTGTCCTGATGATCGCATTCACTCAATAAGATAACGTTGCCAACTGTCTTGACCTCAACGCAGTGCAGTGCATTGTAAGATATTGTGCCTTGCCTGGGCTGTGTGCGCTCAGGTGCTTGTGGCTCGCTGGGATGCAGCTGTTGTCGTTGCCCTTTGTGAAAAAGAAACATGCCAGCGATGAACGTTGGGTGGACAACTCCGACTTGGGGGCAAATTGTGACTGTTTGTCATCTCTTATCTCCTGAACGCCGTCATGCCACATCATCCACAGGTGCATTTTCTGGCAAGGCTTACTTTCTTGGCGCCGAGCCTGGCTCAGGGTTGCCACGTCCCAGACTGCCAGGGTTGCAGAATCCAGCAGCACAGCCAGCAAGCAGCACCCCTTTCATTCCACTGCCAAGCCCTCACAGTCAGCAAGGACCTGGGAAGTCAAAAGCACAGCAGATCCACGGCAGGCCTGTTGGCAGCGTGTTCTCTGGGGATGCTGGAAATGCCCACTATCTTGGTCAGGCGCCTGTGGCCTATTGGCCAGTCGTCAGCAGCAAAGGTTCCAGCAGTGACAGCCCAGGTGTCACCCCATGTAGACAAGGCCCGCACGATGTTGAGCCAGCGAAAGTCACAGAAGGTCCCACCCCTGTTGTCGTGGATCTTGTTTCTTGCACTGGTGGCTCAAGCTGTGCACGTGACAGCCGTTTCCAGGAGCAAGGCTGTGGGGGAGATCCTGAGGATCTACGGGAGCCATCTTGGAGTACCAAAGACGGGAAAGCGAAAGGCTATGTGGATTCAGGCAAGGGTCGAGCGTTTTTGTCCAAGGACCCAAGTCCAACACACTCTTCCGCTGGCTGTGGCGCAACCGTTGATGTGATCGACTTGTCAATGGACAATGACATGGATATCGACGAGGAGGTCACTCTGACCATGGCTCCAGGGGCAGAAGGCGACAGGGTGGTTTGCCCAGGTTGTGGCAGAGAATGGGCCCTGGCCTGTACAACGAATGAGGCACTGGCTGAGCACATGGATATGTGCTTGTCGGCCTGATGAGTCCAGGTCTGGTTGGGGCAGGTGGTAGCATATGCAGCTGGCGTTATATTGACCCCTGATTTGATATCTTGGATCATGACTTCTCATTGCATCTACTCTAGATTGCAAGCAACAGTCTACTTGCATTTCTGGCTGTCGTCTGCTTGCACGCAGCACTGCAAGCCACCGCAGAAGTTGCTTCGAGAATTCAAGCTCTCAACACAAGATTCAGGGTTCCGGGCAATTTGGCACCATCGACATTGTGGGGTTAATCTACGTCAGTAAGAGGGTTCTTGACTGAACAGATCAACGGACTGCAAGCATTGGCCAGTCAAGACGACAAAGATCAATTGACAGAATCGTGATTCGCATATCTCGTTCCTGGGAGACGTATTGCGTTCTGCAATGGTATGCTGCACGTTGTCTTCACCAAAGAAAAGAACACAGCCCATTTGAGCATATCCATCATCGCTGTGCTGCCTGCACGCTGTCTTGGCAAAGTGCGTTGCCATGACCCCTTTGGATACCAATTGTCCACACGGGTAGCAGACGCCCTGGCCACACATCCGGCATTTGATGTGATTGTTTCAGTCGACCTTGTAGGTGTACCGCTTGCATTTTGGACACCGCTTCCTCTTTAATGAATAGTCCCTGTAGTTGAAAGCACGGGTGTCAATGAAATCCCATGAAAGGTTCAGGCATTGCTCAGCAAATTTGTGCGTCTCATGACGCCAGTAAAGTGCTGTTGAGCCGTGAGGCAATGGGCGTGAAGATGCAACTGCAAAAGGACGTGGCAGAAGTTGCCCGCGTTTCCAAGTGACGATTGTACAAACAACTATTCGTTGATGTTCGCAGGCACAACAGTCAGCTTGTGATGTGAATGCCGCTGATTTGCTGATTCTAGCAGGCGCTAAAAGCACCCCCAAACGCGGTGGGCTTACCCAAGTTCTGGTTCTGTCTCTCGCTCCTGCCTGAGTGCCACCTTGACAGCCCGTTCAATTCCGCCTGCTCGGGCGTCCAACACCCCGCACAACCCGCATGTCCCACCAAAACAGGAGTGTTTGGAGCCCTCTATGCGTTGTTCGCCACACATGTAGCAAAAGCGTGTGCGGCAATTGGTGCACCGCATCTCGTTGCACCCACTAGATCGCTGGATCCACATTTTGCAAACAGGGCACATGCGCATGTTGCTGGCGATGTATGTTATGGATGCTGCTTGCATCTTGAGGTCAAGCAGGCGATCCACTCTGTCCTCTCTGCTCTTTCCCTGCCCACTCCCCTCTGCCTTTTTCCGCATCGCTTCAATTTTGTCCTCCTGCGTGAGGCACGCACTGGGAAAACAAAAAAATAGAAAAAATGAAGTCAAGGGCTGCACCACTGAGAAGGCAATGTACGCAGTGGTGGCGAAATTCTCGAGGGGCAAAGATTTCCCGGTTTTGGAGGTTCAGAGAATCTGCGAAGAACTTGCCCGCATACATTCAGGTGCAGCAAAGGCTCTGCCCCGGGAATTGCTTGACACCGATCGTTTGGGTTGTGAAGCTTTGGCGAAGGCTCTGCGATCCACGCATGATACCCGCAGCCAAGTGCACGTTTCTTAGCAAATGGGCCCTAAAGAGGCCGCACACGGCGCGTCCGCCAGGCTGCAGCGCTGCCACAGCACTTGTGGTCGAAGGGTCGTGGTCGAAAGGTTGAGCAATGCTCTCTGTGAAAACTATGCACAGTGGTGTCGGGAAAGCCAAGCCACGAACCCAGTGCTGGCGACCGGCAGGAGACGGTCCGTATATACGGTGGCTCGCACAGCGTACAGTGCCCCATACATACAAAATGATCAGGCAATAATACGCAATGTTCCGACTTTACCGCAACTGCGAACTGCAAGTGGCCCACTTGCAGCTCTGGGACACGCCCACATCTTAATGACTGGTCGATCATGCTGGGTGGCGCCTCACCTGCCCGGATGATAAGAGTCCTTGCAGTTAATGCAAAATGCAAAAAAGCATTTCGGGCACTGAGCAAAGTTGCCCCGCTCTTCAAGGCAGACCGTGCCACACCGAGGGCAGTAGCGGACGTCCTTCATTCTGTCCAAAGCCCTTTGGAGCGTCAAGGTCTCCCACCTTCCATAGTCATCCTGCCGCGTTGGGGGCACAAAAAGCTGTAAGACAATCGCTTCTGAATAGCGTTATTACGTTATTACGCCAACGCATTATTTTGTGGCCGTAAGCAGTGGGGAATTCTCTTAGTGAAGCAAGGTAAAGCAAAACGGTGACGAATGCATTTCGGCCCTGGCATAAGGTGGTCACGGTCAGGGAGCAGCTGCACCATTTCCGATTGAGGACAAAGAGTTTTGTTCGTGATCCTGTGTGTCTGTCATCCCAAAATCGGTGAAGCGCCTCGGGGTATAGTGGGCGACATGCAATATAGTTATGAGTAAAAGTAATCCGAGTCGGTACGGGCTTCATACATACCCACACACATTGCCCGCAACAGGCTCTGGTTTGGAAGATGTCCACTTTTTAGGCAATACTTGTGCATTTGTAAACAGACATGTCTCCTTAAGAAATATACGTTCTTTGAAAACAAATTGCTTTTTGGACAAGGGACAGTACCTGGTGGAGGGAGTCTCTCAAGATGTGGGGCTCCAGTGCCACCATGCATTGGTGCTGTGGACATTTCAAGTCTACAGCACCTTCCTTCACATTGACCTTGCAGTACTCTGAGAAGCAATCACCGCAGAAAAAATGCTGGCAGGCTGGCAGTCGCACACACTGACGGCCAGAAACAACATCCATGCATATGGGGCATGTCCAGGCGGATTGGTTGAATAGCTCGATCCGGCGCTGTTCGTCGAAACAGTGTATCTCAAACACTGTTGTGTCGATGGGCACCTCATTACGGCCTCTTGCGCGCAAATCCACACCTGGGTAATGGTGCCAAGCAATGTCAACATTGCCGCAGGACCCATCAAACGATGGTATCCATGATCGCCCTGCTGTGGAAATTGACAGCAACAAAATGGCCCTTATGTAGTTGTATTGTTGGACTGTTGTCATGATCGAAACTGGCCCAAGGTACTGATGAAGCAACACCACCATGAACCACCGAGAATTTGAGGCGGACGGGCAATGCTGTTTAATGCACACATGTGTTGGACAGGGAATGAATGAAGAAGCATTTGTGATGAACACAAGAAACAACTATTGGGGATTGCGTTGTTGGCGCACCGCACGGCTGTTGAATGGTCTGCATCCCAACATACCTTCTGAGCTATCCAGGGTACTGCAGTGGAAAAACAAAGTTTCCTTTATGCCCAAACACTCAAGGGCACATGCCTTGATCCATTCTATCCATGAGAAACATACTGGCAGACCCTCGCCATTCTCAGTCCACATTTTGTCCAGCTGGTGGCAGAGTGTGGTCAACTGTCTGTTGTCTAGCCAGCCACTACTCAAAAGGAAGCTTGGAGGTTGCAAGGAAGGGTACCCTGGATGGAAATATAGACGCAGGGACAAGGGAGGAAGGTGCTCAACCTGTTGAGAATAGGCACAGTCTTAGAAATAGAGCTCATAATCCACAAAATAAATAATACGTTTCTCATATTCAGCGCATGGTGATCAACCATCCATTTCAAGCAACAAAGCAGGCAGTCGCTGTGTGTGGCTTCATGCACAGTGAACCACACCTTCCCAGCCGGATATCTGTTCTCGGTGGCACTGCTTGAATTACCAGAGTCGCCACCCACTTGCAGTTCCACCTCCCCATTTGGGAGTATTGCAGAAATATGCACCTCTCCTTCCAATGTTACATCATAGCTGCTGAGCTGAATGTCGGCAAGGGAACCGATGTCCAGGTCCCTCTGCTGCATACTCTCAGGGATTCCCTTGATCCCAACCAACCTGTGCAGCGCAATCACTTGGCTACTTAAGGAAACCCAACGTACTGGCCAAACGTCATTTTCAACAGACAAAATCATCCACATGAGAAATATAATAGACAGGTCAGAAATGCAGTTTATATCTGCCTAAACTCCTGCAAAAGAGAACCTAGCACCCCAGCACCCTGCTGTCCATTGCAATACATTCAAACAGCTTGAAAACTCGCATGAGAGCCCCACTGCAACAGTGTCACAATAAATCGACGAATGTTATATCCAAATTCGCAGCAGAGCCATGTAGCATTCCTGTAGAACATGAGGAAGCAGTGCCCATGTGTTTATACATGTAGCTCAGTGTTTTGCACCAAACAGTTTGTGACATTTGCTGTGACGTTCCCCTGATAGCATGGAGCCCAAGGACTCCGGCAGATGCTGTGCACATGGAATAGGGCAGTTTCATGTGTGAGTACTGTACCTGAAATCTTCCCCATATATTGCAGAAAGTGCAGAGATCTCCTCAACTTGCTGTTGCCAGTTCTCAGATGCATCTCCATCACCAATCAGACTCATATGCAAGGCCTGCAAAGGGAGCATTGCGGTCTCTAATCAGACATCTGAGACGTGGCGGGCAGCCATGACTGCCCCTCAAGTCTCATATTTGGGTTGCTTTGTGGGATAATCCTATGAGACTGAAGCTTTCTATGGGCCCAAGCAAACCGCTCAAAGAGGGTCAACAGCCCAGAGCAGCGAGTATACTACTGCATCTTCACAGAATCGAGCATCGCACAGCACATCATGCTGTATTTTTTTGGCAACTCTTTTTTGTGGTGTTATGTTATAGCACTGAAGGGCAGGCCCAGTCGAAGGAGCTACAATCTCCTGGTCATCGTTGCTGATATCAGAGGGGCGGATGCTTCCGAGGTAGATTATAGTGGAACAAAAAGATTTGCCTACAATTTGGAAGGATCAAACCCATTATTTCTCAAAATACAACAGACACCAGAAACGATGCACAATGCGGTCATCCCAGTTTGCATGGGCACGTTGTCAATGTCCGCATCTGGTTCAGCGCTTGGAAGAAACAGATGCAGTGGCCTGCAGCCCAAACGCCCCATCATTTCTGCAGTGGTGCCCAAAAGTACATATGCAGATTCTTGTTGTGAAATGAGAAAATGAGGAAGGAGCAAGAATTCTTTGAGCAAACACTGTCTTCGCTCGTCCACGGACAATGGCGACAGACTGCAAACGGCGTTGCTTCTAGCATCAGCTCACTTGTTTTGCCCGCGGGGGATATCGCTCCCGCTATCACCAGCAGCGTCAGGCACAGGAGGGTAACGCCGCAAGCCACCGGCACGACCAGGGCGCGCCGCCGAAGAGAACACACCCTTCTCTGGAAGTGCCGGTCCTCAGTGAAAGGCTGTGCAGACAGCGGAGCCAGCACTCGCGTCAGAGATCAGGTATCCAATCTGATACCAAAAGACGGCACGTGAAGGACGCCCCGAACGGCAAAAGCTTCAAGAAACACCCACGCAGCTTGTACAGACCTGGATAAGCGACCGGCCACCTGTGTTCGGTGGCCTTGTTTGGTCTGCTTGTTGCCTTGAAGGTGGGCTATCGTACAGCGGCAACTGACAATACGCAATGGCCACGAGGTGAGCACAATGCCAGTTTGTATGCAGTATTCGACGGGACGGCTGCGCAGACAACAAAATGCTGCCACGCGGATCTGGGAAAAGCGCAAAATCTCGGGTTGGCGAAGAATGGGGAGCTTGCCCGCGGGCGTCCGATTACCTCTACGGACACGAATAGCGCCGTTCCCAGGGTGGACGACGCCTTTCTCGCCCGCAGCCCCTGCGTGCACAGAGCGGCGCGGTGGCTCCGCAGGGCCTCAAGTAGGCTGCGAGGACAGGAGCCATGGGGAACGCGCAGGGAGCTGCGGGGATGCTGCCTTTGGGCCATCAGTACATCGCCAGTTCCCCACCGGTTCCCCTCCGTGGTGGTGCGGCATTCGGGGATAGTGTGATGATAAAGGAAACGCACCATCATGCGTAGCACGATGGGCCTGTCCTCTTCGAAGTAAGCCAGAGAAGCGGCAATAGCTAGGCGATTGGAGGGGTCGCCATCCCACGCGCCGGCACTCACATGGCCAGGCGACACGAAGTCCAAGGGTGGTTCACAGCACAGGTTGCTGCGCCCCCAACATGATGGGTTGCGCTTAAAATAATCAGCCACATTCATGCCAATTTCCATTATCTCATACAATGTCCCATTTTGGACTTCTAAGGATCGTCATGATCACAAATGCCCATAAGACAATTCAACCCCCATGCCACCTCATCACTACAATGCAGCCCACATCTAAAACATGCCACAACTTCCCTTTTACTCAAAATTCAAAACAACATGATTCTGGCTACTCAGGTGCCGCATATGGCCATTTCCAAACGCCCCCACTGCAAAGTGCAAGTACAACAAAGCTTGCAAGCCAAAGTGAAAGTAGAGGGCGGTCACAATGTTGTAAAGCTTCGGGAAACACACTTCCAAAACTTCCCCACAACACACCCTTGCATCCTGCAGACAAGACACTATGACCAAGGCATCTCTATGTGAATTGCAGGACATTCTTTCATCAAGCTCATGTTGTCCTCAACAAACATGAGTGTGATCGAAAACTACCTCAAAAGCCAAATTCCAAACCAGGATTCAATCACAGAAATGGCTATTCGGTACTTTCAGATTTCTTTCAATCTCAAGCAGCGATTCACGTTTTGACATGCCCACTAGTCGCAAGCCATCAAGCAGAAGTGATCCACCCAGTGAAACGGTGGTCATTATGCGGCGTCACGAACAGTGAGATGTGCTTATAACCGGTTGGTGGACGGTGCCCACGGATTGATTATTTGACATGGGAATGCGTTACAGAATCAACACTGCGTGTGCAATACACGGGATGTGCGGGGGGGAAAATCACAGCCATGGAAAACAAGCATGCAAGCGTCGGTGCGTGGGATTCTGGTACTTGAGGGCACTGCGCGAATTCCTGGTTGTAATCGATGCTAGGAGCGGTCGGTTGCCCTGCACGCGGAGTATCGCTTTGGAGAACCTTAAAACACGTGCAAAGGGGCGAGGTGCCTCCCGGCTCCCCACTGCATACTTGTCCTGGTAAGATATCAGCAACGCGAAGATGGCCAAATCCTTGTTCGTGTACAGGCCTTGATGCGACGTTTTTTTGTACCGGCTTTGTGCCGGCGTGCCAGGTGGTCTGCGTCCCGTACCAATAGGCGCGGAAAAATTGCAACTGATACGGATCTATGGGACATAATTTTAGTGATCTTGCGTTGCACCCCGTTTTCAGGACAGAAAGGGAGTGTCGCCGCATCCTGATGGCACTGCAGCGCATCGAGGCTTACGCGACATACCTTTTGATCCGAGATCATTCCTATATTTCCAGATTCTCCCTCCCAGCCATCTAAGAACTTTCGTCTTTTATTGAACTTGCGAATCTGATGTTGAATAGCTGTAATGTCTGGACCCAAAATGGCAGAAATGGCAAATGATTTAGTGGCAACTTGAACCCGTCATCGAAAGACAGGCGCTGCTGCTGATGGCGGTGACAATGGTTTGAATGACCCCACGCACAGTCCCCACAGATTTTTTCAGATTGGACACCAAAACAGTCTCAATGCCTCATCAACAAAGTTGATGAAGTGTGGGCAACCGCGGTCGAGCTCCTACCCCACATCCTCCAACAGCACGCTTGCGACCAGCAGTCACCGTACAACAATCGCCAGCCTTCACCCTCTTGTCCCCAGCTCACCTGCATTCGCTGGAGCGATTCACCCTCGCAGTCACCCATCGCCTGCAAAGACCATACTTGATCAACTGGTCCTAGAGCCCCAACTAACGGCGGAACCGCTTTGCCTGCAGCCATCTACTCAGTGTTGGTACCATACTGTATCCCGTGTTTGTACTTTCGTACTCGTTCGTTTTTTTTGCTCGGTTCTTGTTGGGCGTGTCCTTGGGTTTTATGCCGCCCTTGTCACGCTGTGCAACTGTCCGGAATGGTCCTCCTGGGAAAATGAACAACACTCCTCGTGTCTTCTGTGCCCGTCATGGCTTGCAAGGTGCAAGGGCTTTGTTTGCCGTAGCTGTTCTGGTAACTGTGATTCACGAAATTTCATGACCTGCAACGCGAAATGCCGCACGAATCGTACAGCCAGGAGACGGCAGCAGCTGCGTACAGGCACTCCTGCGAGCACCATGGGCGAGGCGTAACAGAAAATCAATTCACAATACCCTCTCAGGAAAACACAAAAGCTGAATGAACGACCACATACTACTCTCCTCTTCTGAAACCACGGTGAACTCGACAGTCGTTGCGTAATGTCAGCGCACAAGTAATATCCTTGCTTTGACACGTAACGTTCTTGAAAAGAAAGTAATTGCAGTCCTGACAAGTCCAATCTCACCAACTTCCCTACGGTTCCCCAGATTGAGCGATGTGTTGGACATTCTTGTTTCACATAAGTATGTTCGCAGCCAACATAACAACAAACTATCAGTGACCCCGCCACCGAGGTCGTTGGTAGACGCCAAAAATTGACTGATTTACATTGCCTTTGCCATCAACATTCTCGGCCGGATGCCTCGGGCGCCGACAAGCGCATTGTCTCGTGCCAATTCATCAAAGTTCAACTTCCCGTACAACTGAACGGCCGCCTCGTTCTTTATTGTTACGTGAAGGCATATCCTGGGGCACCCCACTGCCTTCGTTATTTGCTCACATGCCTCAACCAGGCATGTTGCCACACCTTGCCTGTGTTTAACACGAATCAAACAGAATGTTTGTTACAACACTGTAGATAGTGTGTGATGTGAAGTAATTAGAATCACCACGTGTTCATCGACAGCTGAGGCTCTCAGGACGCACAAAAGACAGGCTTGCTGGCCAATGCATTTTCCCCACAAAATGCATTCATGTGCATCACCGAGGGTTGGCTTCTGCCACGGTCATCCTCTGTGCAAGAAAGCTCTCAATAACCATCACAGTAGCATTATTAAACGTATGCACCAACACGCCCTACATTCGCCTTTTCACAGGGAAGGCGTTCACCCAGTTCCCCAGTGATCATCAATGCTGTTCAAGTATACGCAAAGATAACCCCAAGAAAGCGCAGCAGTGCCCCTCGCAGCCTCACAAACGGAACCCACTGTCAACCTTGCAACAAAGCAGCGTTCTCTATGCATGAACTTGCCTGCCAAATTTCGCATCCACCGCCATGTTCGAGAGGTATGCAGAGCCAGGTGGTGGTGGCAGTGTTGGTCCCACATTGTCAGGATAATCGCTAAGGCACAAGCTCGCAACTCCAATGATCCTTGTGTCTCGGTTAGGTGGTAATAGGCTGTCGTCTGAACAGGAGCAAAATCAGGTCATTTTGCAGTGCCCGTGTCGATGAGCGTCAGTCAGTAAAATGCAGTCATGCTTATCACAATGGCTTCGTTGCTTGTCTCTGCGACTTGACTGTACTTTGCGTCCTCAGAACATGTGAAATCCCTGTTTCAAGAAGCCGATATTTCAACACCGAAGTCTGTTCAACCCTTTGGCATAGCGACATGACTTTGTGCCCTTTTCTCAAGTGGAGAAAATATGACAGCGACACCTCTGTTGAGAAACACGAATCAACAGGACGATGTGTGACATGTCTTGCTTGTAAACTCTATTGCAAAACAAGTTGCATAACCAGGATAGGGCCATATTCTGCCACCAAAGTCACAATATGGTGGCCTCACGTCTGGGATATGGAGCTTCCTTCTCTCGGATATGACGCCCCTATTCCATTCAACATCCAGAACAGTGGCCTTTTGCCAACGGCCATTATGGCATTACTGCCTGGGAATGCCATAACAGGTATCGGATTGAGCTTTGCAAAGGCGGTCACATTTTCAAGAGCACGTTCAGCACGAACACACATCAGTATCATGCTCCACAACATATCTACCCAGTGGGGACACACGGCTTACAAAGGTTTTCATCAGTGTAACCAGGTTTGTCCAAAGCAAACCACATGAGGTTTGCATTGGTTGTCGTGCAATGGACTCCTTCTCATCATCCAATTCAGTCATCCTTGACTATTGACTGGGTTTGGTGAAGATTTGCTAGGGACAGGATACAAGCTGGGCCAGCACACGATGTACCTGCTTGTTCGTAAACATCCATGAATAAATCTTTGCACTTGAAACCGACCGATAGATCAGTGCTGTACACTGCCCACATGGTGTCAGCCAGCCGGCTTTGCATTTTCAACATGCACTCAGCTGCGGACAAGACAAGGGTGGGGATTCTTCAGCTCAGGATTTTCATTTTAGGGTCCATAAAGCACCTTGCCAGCTGGTCAGCGACTTGCAACTCTACCATCCAGATCGTTTCGGCATCTGATCTCTTGCATTTGCAGATGGAAACAAGACAGAGAATGCAAAGAGTTGTAAATGAAAAAGGGTCAGGCACCTGCAGGGATGAGATGCGCCACAAGGATGAGCACCTCCTTCCTTGTGCCATCGTCCACTGCATCCTCCAGGTATGACCTGCAAACACAGTCAGAAGAGCAACTTGGACAACAGAGTGCCCCGAAATCTGCACAGGCCCATGATCATCTCACCTGTGGTCTCCTATTGCGATGTTCTTGTTGTGCTCAGCGAATATTGCACGATCTTCACAGCATGGAAAAGCATGTCCCTGCACTCATGCTACGATCTGCTGTAGGTTGTTTTTTCTGGGATAAGAGATTGTTTGCAACATGTTCTGCCATGTAGCCAAGACTCTTGCACAAATTTCTTCTCTGGGGAGGGATATCCAGTTGCACGTTCCCTTTGTGTTAGAAAGACAGGTTTTGCACACATTCAACCAGCTCAGTGCTTTGAATCCTCCCACTTGAAGGCAAAAGAACAATCAAAGAACTGCCCCAGTTAACAAAAGTCCTGTTTCAACACTACCACATTAACAATTTGGCAATGTGTTGTGCATTTTCATTCACCAAACATAGAAACGGCGCCACATCGTGCTGCAATAACCTCAGTCTTAAGAAGCAGCCCTTTCCCGCAGTTTCCGCCCTCCCCACCCCAAAAACCTGGACTGTACTCATGTGCAGTGGGAAGGCTAGAAAAACCCAACATTGTTGTGCAACTCTGCAAGTTGAAGAGCCACTATGCCGTTCCAGCTCAATACATCAGAGCCCTGCACCAGACTTATGCAGCATGATACCATGTCTTGTCCACCTCTGTTCACAGACAGTTTCCTGTGGGCCAGTGCACAAATAGACTGCAAAACTGGTCCTACAATGCCTTGCCAGTGGTTGGGGTTCAAGTTGGTATTGTGTGCTGGGCAAATGTTGCGAGGCAAAAGTCCTTCAGTTCAATGTCATCTGGCGCACTATGAAAGTTCACTGATGTGCAAGCCATTTCAGCCTGCAGGTCAAGAAATGGGAGGACCTTGACTGAGATGACAAAGCACACAACAACTCTGCCTGGAACATATCTTAGCATTTAGTAGTAATTGCATTGTGCCATCGAGCGGTCCTACAGCTTGAGATCAATCTCACTGGCAATGCTGCCACTGACCTGACACCAAGACTAGAAGCAGTTGAGTGAAAATGCAACAAATGAACTAAATAACTGACACATTAGTAAGTTGCGACTGCATCAAGTTGCCATCAGGACATTTGGCCAAGCAGGTGCCTAACAGATTCCAGCAATGTACTTCAAGCACTTCATGCATGCCCGGATGTGTGTGCATGGAGGAAAACTGTGCAGCATGTGGCTGCGTTGCATACCTGACATCTGCCACTGGCACACCTTCTGGTGTTGCTGCAAATGCCCTTGTGATTACTACAGCTGCTGCCTTGACATCCTCAGCAGTGATCGGCCTGAAGCACAACAAGGGACCACACATGTGTGCCTTCAATGGAACACCCACAGCAAGAACCAAGGAAACCTTGCTGTTCCAAAGGCCAAATTGATATGAAGTGACTGGTTTGGTACAACTCGACGCACAACCTGAAGATTGCTTCTGCACCTGCATTCTCTCTGCTCCAATCTGCCACAACACAGTGCAGACAGCTAGCTTACCTTTGTTTCAACATGGATTGTACATTTTGTTCATGTCCCTACGTCTTTGGAAATGTAGATGTGCACCCCTTTAAGAGATCGGCTGTACAAACCCCAGGTTAGCCCCAAAACAATACTAGACATGGACAAATGACGTTGTACAGTGACCAGCACGAGTACCCCCCCAGTCAATACTGCCACAGGGCCCAAATATCTTCCAACACAAGGCCACTCACATAATGTGCAGAAGGCCAGACTTAATTATCACCTGCAGCAAAAATGCCATACGCTCAGCACCTTGCACCAATCCCTGAACCAGCCATGGAAAGAGTGCTGACAGCGCTGGACATTTTAGGAATGAAATCCCAAGCAGTAACATCATGCCGAGCCCAACTCACCCCTGAACCCCATTGCTTTGCTACTTGTTTCCTGGGTTTTGAAATGCTAAAGCACATTTGCCCAGGATGGAGTGCACATTGCAGCAAAATCTCATATCTTCAAATTAACCCATGAAAGGTCAAAGTCCGTATCTTCACATTAAAGCAGAACATCTATTCCAACACCCTTACCTGGTTCTCATATGACGAAATAACTTCCCTAAACTGTCTTGCAAAATTACGTCAGCACACAAAACGTCAGCAGCGGCACATCAAAAGAACTTCATCATTTATGCAGTGCACTTGGCCAACTGGTGCACAAGGAAGGGCGTTGACCGTAATAGTGTCAATACATCGACTACACTTGTGTCAATGGCAAAGGTACGCTCTTCAGGGCATTGGCGGCCATAATTGCATTCACATTGTTCAATTTGAGATGGTTGTTCATTTGTTCTCCAAGTCAGAAAATGCATCGAATGCTGCCTGTGATCGCGTCCTCATTGCTCCTCCCGATCCCCTACAAACCTGCATGTCTATGATACAGGAAAAGCAGTATCGAAACCCCCCTGCATGCAGGCCAGCCTTCGTCTCAAGCATCGGAGTTCACGATGGAGCCAAGGCGCCACATGTTCCAGCATAATTCTACCCAATGTAATCAACTGGCCTGTTCAGATCAAACGCCGACCAAACGAAACAACCAACCGCAAAACCTCGTCCCTCCAGGCCTATTGGCGTCTATCTCAGCAGCGGTACCTGGCTCCCGAAGCACTTCATGTTCCGTCTGAGCGAAATCCCATGGCCGCACAGTTCCCGGCATCTCACAAGGCGAACATTGGCAGCTTGGTCGCTTTCAAAAGTCCCCGACCCGTTGCGAAGTGAGGTCGGGGAAGGAACCGAGGGCGGCATCCTCCCCGGAAGCCTAGGCCCGTGCTGCCAAACGGTGCTGCGGGCCAGATCGCAGGAGCTGCGCAGCGGGGCCTCCATAGTGCCGCTCTGGTTCGACGGCCCGCTTGGGCGGGCTTTTCTTCCCCAAAATGGCAAATTCAATGGCGTTCATTTTGCCGAAATCGCCGCCATGCTTGGGACTTGAGGGTGCAGGGAACCGAAAACCTGAAAAAATCCCCCAAAACTTTTAAAATGCAAAAATTCCGAAAAATCTAACAGAAAATCTAACTGCAAATTTAAACACCACAATCCCGAAAATGACCTTGATGACTTCCATGACCTTCGTGACTCCATACCTTCGTCACCGTAACCGACTTTTTGCTGTGCGGAAATGAAGGCTGCATGAAGGGCATTTGTCGTGTATGATTGCAGTCCCCTTCTTTCTCTGTGCGCTCGCCTGAGCGACCGCCTGCGCAAAAGCCGCGATGGCGAAGAGGCGCGCCGCGGCGCTTGGGCGCGGGGGCAGCAAGAGGCAGCGGGTGGAGGAGGGGGAGGAAGACGCGCATGGGGAGGACATCTTCTGGGATGGGGACAGGGGGAGGGACGAATCGGATGACGACGGAGACGAGCGGGAACGGCTGGAGACGGCCGAGGAGAAGCGGCTGAGGCTGGGTGAGCTGAATTTTCAGCCGCCTTGCGGGATGCGGATGAGTTTTTGGAATGAGGTCCAGAGGTGCATACGGTGTTTATTGTTTTGGCCCAAGGCTCAATCCCGCCCCTTCCTTTCAGGCGGCGCCGTTTTTGGGCGACGTCCCCCTGGTGGCCGTGTTGGGCCGAAGGCGGAAATGTCTGTCAAGAGTCGAACGTGCCATGCAATGTGTGCCCTAAGCAAGGATTTGTGGGAGCCATGTCCGCGCTGTGAAGCATTTTCAGAAATCAGCGGGACAGGACGAACAAGATTAACAGGATTAGCGGGAATGGCTGGCCAGAACAAGACGCCGTTGTTGAACAGTGCGACTCGCTGTCTCTTCTTGTTGAGAAATCCCGCCGTTGGATGTGAGCGCGTGGGCATGGAACCAAATTCCTGGTCGATTGCATGTATCAGTGATGACTCTGAAAGCGCTCGTATGCGTCTGTGCCGGGCGATGTTGAGCGCTGGTGACAAACGTTGGTGGTGGTATCCAACGAGTTCTTTGTGCCCTTGCCCCTTGTGTCTGCAGCAAAAAGTTATTTGGATCAGGTGAGATCTGAAGTGGAGAAGGAGGGAGAAGCAGAGGGAGAGGAAGAAGGGGGCAGGGAAGGAGAGGCACTGAGGGAGGCGGTGGCAGCAAAACTCAGAGAGAGCACTGAAATGGTGAGGCAATCCCTCTCCTCCACCCCAGCACCCCCAGTCTGTTGGACAAAACCCAAATGGCATGCATTTTCTGTCACAATTTTTTGTTCACTGCTGTTGTACCACAGGGAAATTGCAGCCATCCACCTGCAAGGCGATGCAGGCATTTTTGTCAATGGGCCCGTGTTTCGTGCCAAAATCGCCAAGAAGCCGGTATATATGAGTAAATCCTTGTTGATTCAATTTGCAAAGAAAACAAGTGGGCAGGTCTTTAGTCCAGGCGCGCTCTGCACTGTTCTGCTACAATTGTACTTGTATGCCAGCATTGTGAAGCTGTTGTTGAACCACTAGGAGCCTGATGCTGTCTGACCATCAGAGTCCAGTAGACACATCACGTGACCAGCATGTCATACTTTCATGTAGGTTCTACATAGTCATACATTCATTTGGCCATTTGCCTGGTAGATATGTCAAGTTTTGCAAGGAACTAATGTGGTCGATGGCACAGTTGCTCTGCACAGTCATACATTCATTTGGCCATTTGCGTGGTAGATATGTCAAGACTTGCAAGGAACTAATGTGGTCGATGGCACAGTTGCTCTGCATTGTGTTCATTGACTGTCCTATCTGCAATTTACAGGCACGGCAGGTCACTCGTCGGAAGATTGCCTCATCAATCAGTCTTCCTAAAGATGGAATTCAGGATGGAGGAACGCTGCATAGAGGTCACAAGTGAGTGCCTAAGGTGATTCGCATTCGTTCCTTGTGCAAATTGTGACGATGCACTGCCCTTGCAACTAATAGTCAGTCAACTTCAGGGCTCTGGGCATAAAGAAAACAGGTTGATGGGACAGCTGGTGCACAGCGTGCGTGCATGTGTATACTTTAAACACCACTTTAAAGCACCAGGTTACGGGTTTGCAACTTCAAATCTGCAATTTTCTGGCCAAGGCCGCATCCGATTGTGTTTCTAAAGTCAGCCAAAATCTGGCAGTGTGCTGTGCCAGCTGCGCAGCTCACATGCCAAAGCCCACAGTTGCATCAGGCCAACTGCAAGTTAAGCAGAAATGTTGACGCATTCTGTTCACGGAAATTGCAACTTTGTTGTGTCATGTGTACAATAGCTCTGGAGGTGATGGCATACTACTTGTTATCTTTGCACATTCCATTGCTATAGTGACTTGCATCCAGTTAAGTATTTTCTTGTATTTTCTGTGTCGCGCCAGTTGTTCGTTCCAAATTGAGGGTGCTGTTCTGGCTGCGACTGGGGATTCCCAACCACAATATGTTTAATTTCCTGCAAAAAGTTCTGGGTTTGCATGTGTTTTGCAGAATGCCGATCACAGCACTCACTGTCACGGCAGATGACAAAACAGCATACACTGTGTGCAAGGGGGGACAAATCGTGCAGTGGGACTTGGAGCGGCAGTGCAGGTCAGTGGGCGTATGCATAGGCATTCCTCTTTCCAACTTGTCTTTTGGTCTTGGTGGACGATATTGCCCCTGTTGGGAGGATGACACTCCAGCGCATGGGTCTGTCAAAGGTGTATATGCATATTTATGTGCGTGTGATACTTTATGTTCCAGATGTTCGATACTTCAAGTACATGAATGTCAAGGCATCACAGTCACTCCTGTTCTGAAACTGCGCTATGGCAGCAGCCCCAGGAAACTGTCAGTGTACCAATCTTGGTTATTTGCAGTGCATGCATGGGATGGAGACACAACACTATTTTGCTTTGAATCTCCAGTCTGATCAGCACAAAATACAACAGCGAAAATTAGGATTGGGAAGAAAGGGGGGGCAGGTGCCTTGTGGCTTGTCAAAGTGTAGTCTTCCCATTGGGTCTCCAAAGCCACCCTGACACTGTCTAGAATGAGGAATATACAATCGAAGGCCAGTTTGACAGCTCCTCGGCAATGAAAGTATTGCAACTGTGGATCGACCACATTGTGCCTGCAATGTGTGCTTGGCTTGTCTTGTGGCACACTCGATCATCAGACGGTTATGAATGGTGTGTAGGGAACAGTTGTGTAGAATTGAATAGGAGAAGGATGGGTGCTCAGGCTGTTGAAGAACAGGATTCCAGAGCAGTTCGATTGTGAAGAAGGAATCCTAGCTCTGGTTTTCTGTGGCTGGTTTCATGAGGTTACACTCAGCAACGATCTCAACCTGATAGAGGTGTAGCCATTTTTGGTAATAGGCAGCCATAGTGGCCTTGTTGTTCTGCTATGACCTTGCTTTATCCTTCTGATGTGACAATATCAGCTTGTGCCCTTTTGCACAACATTGTCCTGCTTGTATACTGCAGTGGATACAAAGTTGCATGTGTAACACTGGTTCATGGTGTCCTGGCTAGTTGAATCCTGCACTCTGGAAGTTGCCATTCAACAGAGTGTTTCAATAGTGGAACACAGACAGAATATCACTATGGTTCATTGCATCCAAATCGCTGCTGGAATTGAAATTCTGGCCTCACCTGCTACTGCCAATTTTCTTTCTGCTGAGTTGTTGCCTGTGCTCAACTGCAGGACATCAGTGTGGCATTTGCCGACTTCAGCTGCCAATGCTAAGGCAGGAGATGCCATAAGGAGGGCCCCTTGGATGGGAAAGCGCAATCGACAGGTCTCAAAGAAGTCATTCACAGCTGCGGCGGTCAGTTCTGATGGCCACTATTTGGCCGTTGGCGCAGGAGACATGCAGATCCACGTTTGGGACATCAGGAAAAATGAGTATTTGAAGGCTTTCCCAGGTCAGTCGTGGAACCAGAGTATACACTGCACAGGCCATAAGATAGTATGGGCCACTCGCCTGCTGTGTACAATTTTTTCTTGGAAACACTGGAGGCGCTTCTTGATCATGCTCACATGGACCAGCCCTGTAGTTTGTGCCTTTTGGATGGCAATGTTCTTGCCTTGCTACTCACTCTAAGGTGCCAATACTACCACCTCAATCACAAGAAGTCTTAGTGCTTATACAATCCTGCTATAGCTTTGCAAGATCAACTCAATTAGTCAATCTGTCATCAGATTCAGATTCCTTGGGTCGATGTGGATCTTGATTACATGGCTCAACACTGCACAGCAAGATGGCCACAAGATAGTTACACTGTAAAAGCATCCCTGTGCAACTCCCATATGGGCCTCAGGCTCCCGCATTGTTGTGCTCGCCTTATCCCAGTTTTCCCCCAATTCCTGGAGAACCTTGTTGCAGACAACAAATAGGCATGAGTACATTCCTTTTGAGAGTTTCGGCTTCATTGAAATCATACTTTCTGTGGACCATCTCTTGCAATGCTGTGAATCATGTTTCCAAAATTTTATTGTCAACGATTGGCCGTGTTGGCCTCAACCTAGGCTGTCTTTGGGTTGGTGCTGGCATGCACGGCCTTCCAAACCTTTGCGCATCTACCAAGTCAAGGCTCCTACACTAGTGCATGTGTCTCTTGGCCCTCAGTCACAGCCTTTGCACAGTTCGTGTCGAAACCCCACTCCTATACATTACGGATATTTTTTAGAGTCAAGCTGCGTCTTCAGTGCATACCAAGCCACCAAAGCATATCCCTCTCCAGGTGACAGCCACGCCCGATCTACATCTTTAAAGGGAGAGACGAGCTTGCCCTGCCCTTTCCCAGGTCCTAACAAAGTTCAAAGTCGCATTTTAGCCCATTGTATATCACACAAACGGCAGTGCTGTTTGCTATGTTGAAGGGCTCTATGGATAAGCTCTCAATGTATAGTGTCAAGGTTATTTGGTCAGATTGTCTGACTTGCACGTTTTGGCCTCTGTGCTCACGAATGTGAACAGCAGCAATGCTTTTGTAACAGAAATAGTGTTCCACTTGTCATCTTCTGCACCATCTTCCACAGGAGAGCGTCACATATCTTCTAGTGCTCGTGGGATGCCCCTTGCATGTCTTCTTTCTAATGGAAGGTTGTTGCTGATGGAATATTACCCAAATGCCCTGTTGTTGCTGACACTGCCGAATTTGTTTCACCACTGCTGACCAACACATTTAATGTGTGCACAGGTCACCGTGATGTGATCACTGGCCTAGTGTTCCAGGAAGGCACCCACACTTTGTACAGCTGTTCCCATGACCGCACAGTCAAGTCCTGGAGCCTGGACGACCTTGGCTACCTGGACACTCTCTTTGGGCACCAAGAGCCTGTGTTGGCCATCGATATGCTGAAAGAAGATCGGGTTCTGACAGGCGGCTTCGATAGGACGTGCAGGGTTTGGAAGATCTCAGAGGAGTCTCAGCTTATTTTCAGGTCTGGATGTTTGTGCACTTTGGAAAATTCCTTGCTGCAGGAAGGTGACTTGGTAACAGCACCTTGTACTCCTCTTTCCTCACTGAGATGCCAGAGTACGGTGCAACACATAAGTGCAAGATTTGCAGTGCCTGTCTGTGTCTGGACACGCTGAAACCAATCCTTGCGACCACCGCACTGGTCAGGAACGATCCCACGAGGTTTGTTGCTGTTCCCATTCAGCCAGTGGCAGGTTGGGATTGTTGAAAAGATGGGCTTTTGCTGCTGTAGACTGTATACATGTGCTTGTAGACCTGAGCAACATCGTTGGGCTCGATGGGACAGATGCTGAAGCCCCAGCTGTTGCACGACAAAATCCACCAACGTCGCTTGGCATGGAACACTGGCCTTATGGAGTGTTACTGACTCTCTAACTGACATGTGGGCATGCCAAGGCTTGAGGTGCATCCGCACGAGAATTGGGGCACTGTTCAGCTGCGCAGCAGTCTAATCTTGTGTGTGCTGTGTGGAGGGCCCCAAGCATGGCTGTGGATTGCTGCAGATCTATTGGTGGCACGATGTGGGTGTCTGGATCTGCGGATGGCCTCCAGCTTTGGAGCCAGCACAAAAAGAAGCCGATGGCTGTTGTGCAGGATGCGCACGAAGGAAGTGGGACAAGGGGGGCAGGATGCACCTTTGGGCAGGAGGTGTCCTGGGTGCAATCCATTGCCTCGTGTAAAGGGACGGACTTGGTGGTGAGCTGATTGATATTGCATTGGAAATGTGTCTTGTGGAGCAGCACAAGATTCAGCTCATATGCCCATTAGCTGGTATCAGCTCCAACACCTGGCAGTAAGTTGGACAAATGTGGTGCACTTACAAGGCATTGTGGACAGCACACAGCACCCTATCTGGCTTGCTCCCTGCACCACAACGTTCTTAAATCCCTCAACAATCCTGCCTTTGTTCCTTTGCTCCTGGTCACTGGTGCAGAGTACACATTCCTGGTGCACATCCTTGCAAAGCAACATCAGCATCACTTTACTGCTCTACTGACACGTGCAATACCAACTTCGCGCTGTTTTTTATGAAACTGGATGCCAAGGGAGTGTTGTTTTGAGCACTGTCAGTTGGTGCTGTGTGTGTGCACAAGGATACATGCAGTACCAACTGGTAGTAGTCCATGCATCAACTGTTCCCTTACTGCCCACAACCTATATGATTTTGTCTGATGTACATGCAAGGACAGTGTTCAGTTGCATTTTGGAATGTTGCAGTTAATGCAGATCCATGCACTCAATCAGAGATATGCTCACTTATATTTGCTGCCTGCCATTACCTTGGAAGGTGTAGGGTAGTGTGATGTGGTATATTGCCATATTTGCAACATTCCAGACTCTTGCTCCCTGCAGTGCTCATATGCATTGCATTTGCATGTGTCTGCAGCATCGCATTGGCTTTTTGGAATCCTGTTGCATGCCCTTGAGAATGGGGGCATATCAGCATTGAATAGGCGTGGCACAGAGGCGGAACGGCATGCCTTGGTACTGTACAGGCCTCGAGGCTAATTCACTGATGAGCTTGGTCAAAAGGGCAGTGTCAACGCCTCCACACCCCCACCCACCTCACAGCCCACACACTGGGTGAATGAAGGGCTGCTGGTAATCTGCTCTGGTTTTCTTAAACACAGGTTGTTGTTAAATATGCCGAAATGCTCTGTCTGTGAACCTGTTGAGGTGCAAAGCAAGTTTGCTGTGACAGGCCAGTGGGGCCGGAGACGGCTTGGTCCGCCTGTGGGCGACTGAAGACGCAGAGAGCGGTGGGCTGCAACGGCTGAGGGAGTTTGGTGGCCTAGCAACCCGTGGCTTTGTGAATGGACTGCACATATCAAGGGACGGGGGCCTTGTTGTTGCAGCCGTGGGCCAGGAGCCGAGGCTGGGGCGCTGGATACGGGACCAGAAGGCCAAAAACGGCTTGATAGTACACAAACTTTGTCGGAGTGTTGATGGCGATTGAGTCTTGCGCTTGTCGGCGTGCATGGCTGTGGGATGGGAGAGTGTGACTGTCGCCGGCGCTGCAATCCCCATCGCTTATAGATCTATGGGTGTGCGCCTTCCAATACGGTTGAAAGTGCCAATTAAGATTGACACCGATCTTCGATAGCATGCAGCAGCTACATATCCACCTCCCCACACCAGGCAGTCTTGAAATCCAGGTGGTCCCTTGATGCTCCTGTTCTCACTGCAGATGCAGATGTGCCCGCCCAATGAGGCAGTCACACTGGCGCACTGTGCAAAGCACCCAGTTCCTCCCAGGCGACCATACGATTGCAGGATCAGCAACTATTTAAAAATGTCGCGAACATTGAGCGCCCAAGGCCACATGACACGAGAGAGCATTATCGCTTCGGGCAGCGAGAGAAATTTGCCTGTCTTCAGTTCCACGCTCGGGCTTGAGACGGGCTCTCCTGACGCGCCAGATGCGACGCTGGAGTGTCGAAGAATGGCGCCTGTTGCGCTGGCAACGTCCTGGCACCCTCCTCTCCCTTGCTCACCCCGCCAGCACGGGTTCATTGCCCCACGCCGGATCTCAGCATCGAGGTGGCGGGCTGATGCTTTCACCGAGTCTGGTGCGTCTGTGGCTTCCAGGATGTGGGACAGCAGCAGGAGCGATGCGTTTTCGTCAATTCCCGCTATCGCCCTAGCTTCCAAGTAGTTGATCTCGGGTGTGGAGATGGGAAAGCTCAGCTCCAGGGCACCCCCCTGTCAAGGCAAAAGACATTTCCATTACATCTCGACACACTTGGCCACGATTTATTGGCAACAAACTCTCCGTTTCACAAATAATTTCTACCCCTATTTGAACTGGGCTGGTATCCCGTATATCTTCCATGGAGTAGCGCAATGCCAAAACAAAGTGTACTTGTAGGGCTCATCAGCGCATCTAAACTGAACAATGTAACGCACGTTTATGTCTGATATAAAGGCTTCCGCCCACCAATGACTCAGGGATGCACGGAAGCCTTCACGCCCCCTTTTCCCCAAACCGCACACCACAGTTCCGTTGGGTGGTGCGCTCTGTTGCGGTGACGCATGAAATCCACCCGCCATCCGTGCCGTTTACAACCACCATCAATAACAGCAGCGCTTAGGAGTAGATACCGCAGTAGAGGTGCGTCACTTGGGCGCGGGTCCTGTGGGGGAGTGTGGGCCAGGGGCACAGCGAGGCTTGTCGACGGTTCCAGCTAGTGTGGTGGGCTGTCGATGATCCTGCTGCAAATGCCATACTGCATATAGGGCCGGAATCGTCGATCCTCGCCATTTGAACTTTACAGTCCCACCTGAGGATGCTCGCTGATACAGTTGGCAGCCAAGACCACCTTGGGTGGTTTAGAACCCAAGGCAAGGCGTGGCGGCTTTGAATGGCAAAGGGATCAGAGCGCCATTCGAAAACGTTGTGGGTAGATGGAGGACGTCTTCAAGGAAGGCGCGCAGGCAATACTGCCCAGATTATGTTAGGTGGAAAAGAGGGATGCTTGGAAAGATGACAGGCCATGTTGGCAGCCCAGGATGTCGTCGATTCAGGCGTTTGGGGGGCTTCTGTGGAGGTTGAAAGCTGGAGGTCTTGCTACCAGTCGGGGACGGTTTGGTCGTTGTATTGAAGAAGCCACAAAGTGATGGCTTCTGTCGAATGTGTGGCTAATTATGCCGTTTTGATCACAGATAGATAAGCACCTCCGCCCCCAGCATAAGATTGCCGCGTTGAGTGCTACAGCGACAACACAATGTCGCCTTGCACATGCACCACACATAAGTAGCGTATGTTCGCAACTTCGTTGTGGCGATACATTTCATAAGCAGATGCTTTTGCATTGACATAAAATGCAAAACAGTTCCAGAATGGTTGCCTATTTGTCTGTCACGTACATGCTTCTTGGTGAAGCTCCTGACTTCGTGCAGAAGGAACTGTGACACTGTGAAGTAGCCTTCCTTCCAAGCTATGTGGCTGCCAATCAAGTTCTGGTAGGCCTGCACCAAGACTTGCTCTTTATCAGCGAGCGTTGAGGGATCGATGCTGAAGATGTATCCCACCAAGGGCTCCACTTCATCAAATGTCCATTTGGGTTTGGACATCGTGCTGTGCAGGGCGGCCACCAATTTGTTGGCTGCATCTGCGAAGTTCCTCCCAAGCAACAGCAACCTGCAGGTAAAGGATGATGGATGTGAGGCGGCGTCGCTGATGCCACTGTGGCACAGATGGGCGCACCTTTCACACCCCGGGTGAGAAAAGTAGCAAAGAGCGCGAGCCATTATGGGAACAATGGCGCAAGAGGTGCAATGCTGAAAGTGCATGGACATAAGATGTTATCTTCAGGACACCGATTTCGCCGTTTGGAAAGAAAAACGAATTCAACCGCTGAATATCGGCTTATTCCGACCATATCCTGATGTTTGTCCAGCTGCTCTTAGTGCATCCAAGGCATGGCTTGCAGGGAACGAGTACAGGCATTGCACCTTCTTACGCGTGGATCTCCGAGGTGTGTGATTTCGTACACCTATGCTTCACATAAATGATAATCAAAGTTCAAAAGTTCGAGCACACGGGACACTACGTCATTGGTTCCCTCACAATGCATCCAAAACTCTCTTTGCTTATTGAATGACAGCGACGACGTAGCGATTATGGCTATGGTCTTTCAGGTTGCACTTTGCGGCATGTGTTGTGGCTAATTTCTTGCACCTTATGGACTCTGTTTGCGTGCTGGCACCCTCTGCCTTGGCCGTGTAGGTCCCTGGTGCCTCAAGCCCGACTGCCAGGTAGAAGGCATCCACCTCCTCTGGTGGCATTGACTTTGGCAAGCGGATGGACAGCTGTTCTACATGAGCCTGAGCATCATCCAATGTATGTAGGACCTCGGCCGCCAGCTTCCTGAGCCCTGCGCCAGTGTTTCCGATAGTCAGTTCCATGCACATGTAGACTTGACAGCAGTGCTCACAAATAGTGCAATTCGCGTCGCCACCTGTGCTGCCAAAAAGAATGGTGAAACCGATGGTTGATTGGCAAACTTTCCCGGCTCACGCCACATAGTTGGACTGCAAACAGAAGACATTCATTGCAAGCTCACTCTTCTGAAAGTGCTTGATCCCGCATGTTGCCGCAACGCCGAATTACCTGCAGCCTCGCACCTCATCGCGAAACATGTTCTGATTTTTGAAGATATCGTCTTCATTGATTTCAAGGCATCCTGACATTCGACAGCCATGAGCAGAGCAGTCGCCAGGTCGATTTCGTTTGCTGCCAACAGGATATGCAGGGCCTCTTCTGTGTCATCAATTGATAGCTGGCAGCACGCAGCCATGATGGGCTGTCCCGTTTTCTGAAATTCGGCCGCCTGCATCGATCTTATGCGCCTCATTGGTTCCGAATCACTCCGAAGCCTTCTGTCAGTGGCATCAAGAGACTCAAGTTTGCCTTGGTAATCAGCGGCCGCTTCCCTTTCATTCACCACCTTGTACGAAGCGTTGCCATCCATACTATGCTTCATATGATCCGAAGGTGCCCTGACGCTGTCGCTGCTAGGCAGTAGGCGACTGTATCCCCTGTAGCAGACTACACGTCATGAATACCGAAATTCATTATCCCCGCAAATAGAACAATCTCTGTGTCTGCATTGGGCTCACTCTGCGCTTCTGTAGTTTATTCGCTATTGGGCGCCTACTCAATTCGAAGGAGATAGCAGATCATAGCGCAGAAGCCACCGAGAAACACGCGACGTCACATGAGCGTAGCATGAATTTTGAATATTCATGCATGGAAGCGATAACAGAGCGACGCATCGGCCGGCGCGAATGTCGGAAATCGAATGCGCAATGTATGCGCCGCGGCACAGCCTACATATTTCAGCTCTTCGTGTCATGATCCCCTCGTCTGTTGCCAGTGTGTTTCACCACTTTGGAAAAGGGGGGAAAGTTGGCACATGCGCGGAATGCCGCAGCAGACGAAGCACCAAGTCGTGGTGTTGACAAGCGTGATGCAGTGTGTATTCCATTCCATTCCGCTTCATTCCATTCTGTTCCATTCCATTCCATTTCATTAGGGACAGCGTTGGAGTTACAGTCCGAGTAGTTCAGAGAATGCCACAGTCAACAGACCTGTCTGCACTTACCCGGATGCCTGCATGCATGCTAGCTCGAAAGCCTGGTCATACATCTCCTCCTCGAGGCACTTCGCCACGGCGTCCTCAAGGCGCCCACACACGATAAAGGAAGTCACGCAGTCCTCCACCTTGCCGCCCTTCGCCAGCCACACAGCCCTGCGTCCCATCACCTCCCTCCAATAGGACACTGACACAGCGGGAGCGGCCGCGGCAGCTTTGTCCCATTCTCCCTGCGACAGCAGCGTCTCGCAATAGCGCCGAACGTTGCCGGCTCTGACATCCACGGAGCTCGCCTCCTCGAGGGCGTGGAAGCTCCGCGGCGCCCTCACACCACTGCTCTGTCACACCGAAAGGCACCGGATGGCTTAGGCGGAATACTGCCTGGTGGACATTGGTGATTTCCTATGAACTGCAACGTCTGAGCTTGTATCCGAGCACTCTGGGGCGTGCTTAGTGAGCAATAACTGTCACTGGATTTACGTGACTGCGAAGTGACACAATTCCATTTGCAAAACCTTGTCTCTCACGAGTGAAAATGCGTTCAGATGCACGTCATCGTTCTGACGCGGCACGTTTTTGCCCTGGCATTACAGATGCAAGCATAGCATTGGATCAGGGGAGTTCCACGGTGCTCTCTCAACGCGATGGCGGTGGTCCTCACGAAAAGCACAGATCCTTCCACAGTGCGTCGCCGAGCTGCCGGTGATCGCACCTCAGAATCGAAATTCATCATTTTGTCATTGAAGCGTTGTTTGAGAGCTCTGTGAACGTCGGTGTGGAACAGCATGGTTTTACCAGAAGTACATGAGGCATCTGGAGGCAACTTGCACACACGTCTTGCCAAATTCCACAAGACATCTGCTGGACCTGAAAAGAACACGCAAGAAACGACGGTCATGCTTTGCATGCATGAGGTAATGAATGTGCAACAAGTTCACTCCACAATTGCACATTGTACAGACATCGTTGAATGTTTCATCCAACTTACTTGGATTTGGCGTGCCTGGGATGGGAGCGGCTCAGAACCAAGTGGATCTCCAATCAACGCCGAATCAGAATGCACAAATTTCGGCCAAATCTTAGGCAACTTTGAGGGGCACAAGAGGTAATGGGGATAAGTGCTTTTCGCAAAAAATTGGTTGTTAGGGGTTTGGGGACCCAATTTTTCCATTCTGACCTTGTTTTGTTCTTTTGTGGCCTTGCTTGAAACGAATTTTTCTTTCAAATAGAGGACCTTAATTTGGACAGAGAAAATAAAAATAAATTGAGGATTGTAGGTGCATCTTTCCTGGTTAGCTCATTACATGCAAAGCGCATCTTTACCCTACGTTCAGGACACAGCTTGCTTGCCCTTGCACATGTTTGGCTTAGCTCACGGTGCAGAGAAACTAGAGCCCAAACATCTCCAGTAGGCAATCAACGAGATTTCAGACTTGGAGGAGCTCGTTTTATGACTCACAAATGGTTATTTCGTCGCTTTTCAATGTTGAAAACCATTGCTCAGTTTTGTTTGGCTATAATGAGTGGGTGCTGACTCGATTTGCTCACGCGACATTGCCAGTATCGTCATGCTTAAGATTGTAGAAGTGCACAGATTTCCATCCCTTCAACAGCTTTTTGTGAACTAGCGCAGGGTTGTCTGCTACCTGGAGCGTAGAAAAATCGAAATATTGACTGGAACCTCTCGCACTTCGTGCCGTATGCGGCCAAGTCATTTTCCAAGTTTCTGGAACATGGACCACTGAGCTCGAAACTTGGATCTTGGTATGTTCCAGAGCCTCGTTCCTGATCGCATCTGAACTTCTTGCCAAGAATGCAGCTGATCATTGGACCGGGCAGCAGCTGCGTGAGGCTCCAGATGCGAACAGTAGAGTCTCTGGACACTGTGGCCAGGGCAAAAGGCCTTTGAGGGTGCATTGAAATGCCGTACACGTCCGCAACGTGGTGCTTGCAGCAGGCCAGGCTCTCGCCTGTCTGAGTGTCCCAGACGCGCACCGTGGCATCCCAGCTTCCTGCAACATCAAATCTGACAACTTGACTGAATGAGTTGAACATCTTGCCCATTTTCAGGCTTAACGTTTAATCTAGCGAATGCTACAGTGGAACTCTCCGTCGGTTCATCCATTTTTGGTGCTTGATTTAAAGAGTTAGTTGAGTATTGAATAGATTGTTTGCTCTGAGGACCTAACACTTATGAACGGCAAGTGGCGCTGAAAGTTCCAGTGATCACGCATTCATTCACATCTTCCTCATCGCCATTTAAACTGTTTTAGCCACGCGTCTCTTACAAATTCCCAAGGTATTACAATGCCTTTCTGTGCGCTATACAACGGAATAGAACAACTGAAGGTGTCATCTGAAACGCAACTGCAAAAGCGTTCGGCTGCGCTGAACGCAGCCCTGCCCACATGGACAGACGCTCATGGTCCTGCAGGTCACCTGTAATGACGATGTGATGTATCTCTGGATGCCATGCTAGTCCCCTCACATTTTGCGTGTGGCCCTGCAACACCCTCGTACACGTCCCACTTTCGACATCCCACACTCGCGCAGTCCTGTCGTTGCTCCCCGACAGAAGAATGTTGGGCACCAAAGGCGACCATGCCACGTTGAATACAAGGGACCTGATGAAATTTGACACGTATTCTAAGATGTTGCACTCTCGTGGCGCACCATTCACTTCACCAGCAAGCACCTGGGAATGCGATTCTACCGTAGTACAATTAACAACCGCCATATACCCAAATATACCTCATTTGGCTCCAGAACAGCCCTGTTGGTGAGAATGTAGCACAGCGAAGCGAAGCTCCACAAAATGCGAAGCTAGTCCCACAAAACACTTCTACCCGGGCACGAGGCACTCTTGATTCAGCAAGGTTGAATTGCCGAAGCATTTACTGCAAACTGCAGCGTGCGCACAAATTAGGTCAGGCACATGTGACTCTGCACTCGTGTTTTGGGCAGTTTGGTTCAGCGCACGTGTGCCCGGAGAGCCTCTTCTTGAGGCGGCTGGCTTCCGGCAGGTCCACGTCCCACAGGTAGATGCGCCCGTCGCCGCACCCCGTTGCCAGCATTCCCGGCATGTGGGGAGACCATGCGGCGCCTTTTGCCGCATCGGGGTGGGTTAGGGTGAGCAAGGGGACTCCGTCGCAGCTGAACACTGACGCTGTGCAGTCGTCCGACACCGATGCCAGCCTGTTCCCAAATGCCCCTGGATTCCACACCACCCTGCGAATTGCGGGTTGTCCGCTCAGTCGAGTTATGAGCAGTCGCGGCAATCCCTTCTCGCGGCTTGTGTGCTGGCAAAACTGTGTTGTGACCATTGCATCATGTCAAATGTTTCGGTGAAGAGCGTTGCTCTGCACCAGCACTGATTGTTGTCAAAACGGCATATTGGAGGGAAGGTCTTCTGTGCTTGGGGAAAATATGACGCGTCCTTGCTTTCGCCAAAAGACGATGTATGACGCCGTTCACACAACCAGAGTTTGCCGAAAAGCGATTCTGTGCCTTTCAAATCCGAAATGTCCTTGTGTGGCAGGCTTAAGCCATGTTGAAGATGGGCAAAATCTCAACATACCGTAACGCTCCATCATTTTTACGGCAGCAACAGGGGAAAATGTCTGCGCTGACAGTGTCATGCATTCGAGGAAGAAGGGGGGGGGGGGGATATGCAATGTTGGGGAATGTGAGCTGCTTATGTCACAAGGCCATATGAATTCACGCAAAATTTGAGCAAGCGGCATGTCTTCCATGCAATCCGCTTGTTTCTCATTACTGCGAGCCACGGATGGTACTCTCTTCATTGCTTGTCCAAGAAACGATGCGGGTGAGCCCAATAGACACAACGCCGCATGAATGGTCCTCATGAATGCGTTGGCCAATGTGCGCTGAGACCCCATCCTCACCTGCACGATATGTAGCCAGGCTTGTGCAGCTGGCAGCTTCTCGTCAACAGTCCCCTGTGGCTGTCGTACAGGTGCACGCGCCCCAGCGCATCGGACGCCGCCAACAGGGCTCCGTCGGGGGACCAGCACAGCGAGTACAGAGCGCTGCAGGCGCCCGTCAGAATTTTCACGCACTTCAGCGTCCGGACATCCCACAGACGGACCGTCCCGTCATGGGAGCACGTGGCCAGTATGTCTGCGTCCGCTGTCGAGAAAGCACAGTCGAACACCGTTTCCGTGTGTCCCCCTTCCGTCTTCCACAGGAAAGACCAGCGGGAGGCGTCATACAGCGCCACCTGCGGCCCAGCGGAGGCAGCTTGTTCTACGGTGGGAAATTGGACTGCAATTGGGACACACAATAAGGGGATGGAAGGCGATGATGGGATGCACAAAACTGTATTGCAAAACTCAGAAATATTCAAAAGCGCGGATTCAAAACTTTCCGTGAATCAAACGTTTCAACGTTTCAACGTTTCATTACGTGACAGTTAGTCTCCCAATAGAAAAAACTGTGCATAAAATTTTCAGTATTTGGTCGCATTTCAAACTGACACCTTTTCAAAGAGATCGGTAAACATGCCGCTGTGCATGTGCAATGAAAACACAACATGTAGACAACGTGACATGTATTTCTCTCTTTGTGCATCGCTCGCAACAATCCAGGTGGCAAGGAATTGTCATGCGTTTCTTGTGACCTTTGATTTAATTTCCATAGTCCTATCCCCTACCGTTCCGTCCAAGAACGCCAGCACCGCTTTGCTCATCCCAGGAACAAAATTGATGGATCTGCAGGGACCCACGTCCGTCCTAAGCACTCTCTGCGGCGCCGTCTGGGACACGTTCCACAGTTGCATGACGCCTGTGGAGGAAGGATCAACTCAGCATGCGAGCAACTAATGTTGTGTTCACGCTTGCGTCGCGATCAGCTCTCAGCATTGATTGCTTGGATGGCATCGGGCACTGTGAAATTCCAATTACATCCAGCCAAAGTGTTTGTCCCTATGCACAATCCAAGACGGGGCCCATTCACAAGAAATGCGATGTAGGGCGATTGGTGTCCGCAACTGTCCCTAGTAATCCCACTCCAGAAAATCTGTAGCGCCTCGTCCAAAGTCGATGCACAGGAACTCTTTGGCAAACGAAAAGAGCAGAAAAGAAAAGAAAAGAAAAGAGTGTTTTGGATTCAATTCCAGGAATTAGATGCAACCCAGATCATATTCTCCATCCCCATGAAGTGCCCCCTTGCTGATTGTCCCAAATGACTTTGATGCGCTGCACAAACGTATCGGGCACTGTGGTGGGTGTTGATACTACTACTACAGACAGATTTCCTGACAGCTTGATAACTTAAATCCCAATGAAACCCCCCTTATGAAGCGACACTGCACGTGTTCGTCAGCAAGCAATGGTGAACTTCCAAAAGCAATTTGCTGAGCAATTTATCGCCTGGCAGAGCTGTCCAGTGAAGGAAGACACCTTACTGCTTCTGTCGCATATCGTGATGAAGCTCCCAGGAGCCTCCGGCACAAATGCGACGCGGCGGTGCGATGCAGGCTGCGAGGAAAACTTGATCAGCTGCATCAACACCAGGCCAACGGTTCTCGTTTCAAACATGCGCATCCGCTCATGAACGACATGCTGAATACCGCGCGGCAATTGCGTAACATGTGCACAAGGGAGCGAACGTATATATGCACAAGAGGGATCCGATACATGCATGTGGTAATTGATTGCAGCAGCTTTGGAGGCTGCGTTGCTCCCATGAATTGCAGTGACCAACTCTGGATTTTCCTGGGTGATGCCGCGTGGGCATCGGCTAGACCTCCTTTATGGTCAATACAACCACCAATGAAGTCAAAGGAGCTCGCAGTGCAGAGCAGGCCATGCCAGAATGGCCCTCGCCTCACCTCACCTCGTTCATATTGCTCAGGTCAATGAGCGACATATCTCCACACCTACAGCATACCACAATGTACGCAGGGGAGGACGAGTCGATCTGAAGGTCTGTAGGATAGCTCTCAAGAGAGAGCTGGTTTCTGATTTCCGTCCTCTCGCCTGCTCTGCTGAGGACCAGGACGGCATTCGACTTTGTTGCGACGACTATTGTTGCGACTTCGACGGCCGTCTGCCTGAAGCATGTGATGTCTGCCTTGAACTTGTGCAACGCGGTGGCCCATCCTCCGGGCTGTGATGCAGGCCCATCGAGCCAGTGGTACAGGTCTGAACCTGCCGACAGCAGCAGTTCCGTTTGGTCCCACAGACTCCTAGAGCAGTAAGACACGCACAACTTGCTCACGGAGGAGGGCAAGGAGCGCAGCGCAAGCGCATTCACTTTTGTACTGTGAATTGCACGAAGGTGTATTGAGAAACTCACAATTTAGACATGCGTTCGTTCCAAGAAAAGCAGCATGGCAATTTGTGATGACTCTGGATCACGCCACGTGATTCGCACAGCATGTGACCAACAAGTCAGACCGCTGCCTATCAGTGGTCGACTCTGCTTTTCTCAAAGAACTGTGTTGCGATGCGCCTCTGTATCGTGCTTCTCACCATTCCAGCTGCCCCACAGTGCATCGGGTAGGCACCTGCGTCCATGATGTGGGTACCTCCTTTTCGATGCTGTACTTTCTGATCACCTGAATCGTGTTCAGAGCAATTATAAGCTACTAAAGTGCAAACAGCCATCTACATGTACACAAGGGAAGGCCAAGGTGAGAACAAGAATCGCAGCAAAATCAAGCCGTGCTGCGCATTGGATTGCAATCTTAAACTGCACCTCAACTGGGTCCAATTCATCAAAACAGCGATGGCGGAAGGCTTCAACGATGAATGTCACGACGACATTTTGCATTCTGGTGTGATGACTGCGTCGTTGAGGAATCCACGAGTGCGCCAATTTATTAGAAATCAATATTCAATGTAAATATTCATATTCAATGGCAACTGAGCTCACCGAATCTGTTGTCGCGCACGCCAACTGGTCTGCTTCGTTCGGATTCCAGCAGATGGCAGAGAAGCATTTTCCAGACTGTGCGAGTATCTTTTGAAGCCTCGGCTCCTTGGATTGTAATGAATAAACATAAATAGCCATGGTGGAGGAGAATGCGAATTTGCCATTGTGGGTGGCAACCTGCAGTACAGCGAAAATAATTTGGATTTCTTAAAGACATGTGCACAAAGTAATTGCTCTAGAATATCCAAAGAAGTTGAAGGAGGTCCTCCAAAGAAAAATGTCCACCCTCTTTTTGATCCAAAACTCCTGGTATTGAATCAAAACATTTATGAAGACGACAAGTAAACACATTTAAATACATGATTGGCAAATGCGTTCTCATTTCTGGCACTCCGTGGATAACTGGAAATGTTTTTGAATTGATTTCTAATGTAAGGGTATCCACTCACGGCAAATTCTACAAACACATCTCTTGGGATAGCTACTGCGGTTTCAATTGAATACCACGCAATTACATCGATTGCTTGGAATCCCCTGAAGCCGCTACACGACTGTATTGTACCTCAACACATGGTTGGATACCGCTAGTTCACTAGCAGAACGGGCACGGTCGACCATGCCGTTCAAACGGGGGTTATCCAACACATGGTCCACCAGTAGTGGAAATGTACATTTCATCACATTTGCATTTGTAACTAAGAATATACAGTGTAATCCCAATGCAGACAATGGAAAGTTGATACCAAGCGCCAAGTGCCGGGAGAATTACCATTCCTGAATATGGTACTGCAGATATAAGACACGCGTCGCTCCAAAATACACATTTTGCAGTATTTCTCTGCTGATAGGAAGAAAGGTGGTTATCCCGACAGCATAATGCAGAGGGACATCCGCAAGATATGTTGAATCATCGATGAATCATATCAGAAGATATGTTGAGCATCGATTTAATCAGTACTCAAGGTAATGCTTTTCAATCAAGAATATCGAGAAATGAGCCTGTGGGAAACATTTTTTAAAGATCTCGATCGGGCAGCTTGGACGGCTGCCATTGTTAAAAGAACTGTTGCAGCATGAAACAGCGCGATTTCGGCGGAAAACTATGATGTTTGGTGTTGCAGCAGTTTTGTAACATGGGTCAGTTGGCTTTATAAAATATTCTGCAGAGTATATTCGGGAAAATATTTTCCAGTCCTGGTATAACTTGATCACGCAGCTCACGAACGCAACTTCAGCAGCTTTGTAGCCGTGCTGCATTTTCAACCTCAAGGATCGCAGGATAAGGGCATCGCCGTCCGACCGGAAGAGAACCGCTCAATGGCGCCCAGCAACGACAAATTTTGCCATAACTATTGCTTCGACTGCCGTTCTGTTGAAAAACTGGCCAGGAAGCAGGTGCTCTTCTCTGAGCTGTTTGGGAAAAGGACCCATGGTCCCGCAATTTGTTCGAGTTCTTGGCGTCGCGTGAAAACACCAGATGGCCTGTGAGTCCTCACGTTTGAGCTGCGCTGCTGGCACCCGGACGGAATGAGCGCCTGCTGTCTCATGCCTTCACCTCCGCGCCAAGCGGCATGCGCCTCCAGACTTCGGCGGAGTCAGACCTTGGCAGCCCGCCTCACTAAGAACACCATAATCGCAGATGTGCATTGCGTTCTTCGTATCACTGGCCACAGTTGTGTCCTCAGCGACGTCCTCCTCATTCCAATCATGGTTGACATTTCGTACCACAATTGGTCGCTGCATTTACTGCGCAAATTAAGTTCCGTGCGTTTTCTACGCTGCGTGCTTACTGTGCAGTAAACATGTTTTAAAGCAAAATTCATTGCACATTAAATTTTGCACTAAAGCACGTTTCACGCTTCCCACTGCAGAGCTTGCTGAAGACGTCCAAGGCACTACAAATAGACAACATAGCACAGGATTTGAAGTACGCTTCCTTTGTCCATTTGTATACAGAAACTGATACATACGCCCTTAGAAAAACACGTAAAACATTGGCATCAGTGCACCCATGCTACTCGTAATCAAATTCCATTGGACGATTCTTGCGGCGTTCGTTCTTGCACATCGCCTAAAGGCGCACAAACTCCTTCCTGACAACGGTGGACTTCACGATTGCATACGGCTACTCCAGAGCCGCTGATGCCTATGAGGTGGCAGCATCCGAGATCCTTGATGCCGTTCGCAAGCAGGTTGCAGCAGCAGCAGATGGCCCTGGATAGCTTCCACGTCCAGAAAGCGCTGCGCAGCTGTCCTGGGCTGCCCATGGCATGGTGATCGAGAGCAACTGTAAATCAGCAAACGCAAGCTGGCCAGGGCTGTAGGCTTACATGGCGCACAAACACGCATATATACGTGCAAGCAAGCATAAAGAAGCACAAATGAGCATATGTGTGCATAGCTATGCATTGGAAATATGCACGAATATGCCCAGATGTGACAAAACCGTAAATATGTGCAACTGTGCATACTTATGCTCATACATACGTGTATGCAGTGACCTAGCTCTGACGTTCATAGCTACCATGAACAGCATTCGTGGCGTGAGTGTTGTCAAAATTTCCACATGGCGTGCCTCACTAGGGAACCATGTCTGAATCATATGCAGCTGTTCGATGCCATGAACTTCTCCAGTGTAATTAATTCCATTGGGCATCCACATGCGCGCATCAGGGGTAGGAGCTAGCTGGGTCACAGCAGCGGTCAGCTTGCAATTTCACTTGAACAAAGCCGTGCCATTTTATGCAACGAGACCCAGGGCATTGTAGCCCAGAATCCTCTAGGTCCCAATTTTCAGAGTAGACGGCCGGTGGCAAATCATCAAGCAGCGTCCAGGGAATATGTTCAGCTGGCTTGCAAGAGAGCAAGGACGTTTCGTTGCCATGGGAAGCTAGTTGAGTGCATACCACATCTTCAGGACATAATGCCATAACAGCTGCCAATGAATACAAATATTGACCTGCCAAACAGTACCAGGTTGGAAGATTGCATACAAGCGACTTCAAAAGCCAGGGATAGATTGTCAAAATTGACAATGTCAATCTACTCAATCTGAGATTGAAGTTGCCAATAGTGTTGTTGCTCAACCTTCAGCAAATGAATCCCGCATTAAATCATGGACAGAATGACCTCAGGAACGCAGTGTCATACTACGTAGTATATACTTTAAAGTGGAACGCTAGCTGGAGCTGTATGTATTGACGCCGAGTCCTCAAACATTGGCTTCATATAAAGTTAGGAATGCGGATTTGTTTGCACAGCTCTTGAAATAGACGGGGCAAACTTCTGCACTCTCCATCGAATAACGATCAGACATCAACGAGCAAGTCAAGCAATAGCACGTTCATACTACGGCCAGCGGCTGGAAGCAAACAGTTGAATTCCTGAATTGAAGATCAGATCATCAGCGCATTTGCGGACATGTCATCCCAGGTCGATGTGCGCGATGTGACCACGACCTTGGTATGCCACACCAAACTGTTGCCATCATATGGCGGCATTGGCTGGAGGCAGGTACGGCAGCCGGGCAGCCAAAGACACTGCTTGTTTTTCAGGCGAGACCGACGCAGCATAAATGCCCTTGTCGATCAACTACAGGCCACCCTTCCCCAACGCGACAGCCGTCGCAATTCTAAATCAAGGCAGTGGCCCGCGCACTGAGGTGGCCTCGCACACCTGTGTTGCAAACTTTTTTTGCCGCCGATTGTTTTTGTCGAGTTCACTCAAGCCACGGCTTGCAGAGGAGTGTCCTTTCCGAACACCGTCTGCACCCGCAGGTCCCACGACCTGTTTAAGTACCGTGAGTTATTCCAGTATATGCACACAGTATACCGTATGCATCCGGTACCCCCATGCGTGCACGCCTGGTGTGCCTGCATCTACGGCGCGCCAAATGGGCACTGTCCCAACGTAATTCGCCCACCACTGTTCACACAACCCGCTCCCACACGGGCACGGCATCACTGGGCCGTCCTCAGGGGCTGGTGCCAGCCGGCAAGGCTCCCGGCCTTCGGGCCAGCGTCACGTGCGCGCCTGCCCAGAGCCGCAGAGCCACCGCAGCGCCTTGCGATCCAAGTGCGCGTTCAGATTGTCGTTTCGCGGATGGCGGAGGGGGCAGAAGCGGCGGAAGGGTCGGAGTCCGCGGCGCCCGCGGCCGCCTTGGATGGGGCGCCCGAAGCGCCGGGAAGGGCGCAGAAGATGGCGGACGTTTTTGGACGCGAAGACTTCAATGCCACCGATTTCATAAATCAGCTGTTTCCCTCGGGTGAGTGGGTTCATGTGCTGTCGGCGTGGATCAGTCTCTGGTCGCGACGCGCTGCATGGGTTGCATGCATTCCGGTGGTGCCGCTGTTGACAGAGACCTGAGCCTGTGCGCGCTGCAGTTGCGTCTGTTATGGGGCTCCTTTCTGCAGAGATGTGGAGGGTTGAGCTCAAATATCGGGCGAATGTTGCTTTGCCTCTTGGGGTTGAGCCTGGAAGCGAGATGGTCCTCCCTGGCTGTGGTGTGCCTTGATGCACTATGGTTGCACAGCCCCGAAAAACGATCAAGTGGATTTGAGTCATACACTGGACGAACAGATTATCGCTGCTCCTTTTCAGTTCATTTTGGCGTGTGGGGACCTCAGATCGACCCATTCAATCCAGAGCGCTGTCCCTTGTGGTCCGGTTTCCCACTCACTCCCCTGTTATTGCAGAGACATCGCTTGGATCTCTAGATGATCTTGTCACAGCGTTGAGGAGGAAGGTGCGGTTCTCATTGTCCAATTTCTCACAGAGTTGGTGAAGCCAAACCCGACAATTCAAAGACACAAAGTTGCCTTCTTCAATTCCGTGCTGTGCCCGTTGTCGCTTTAGGTGCACATTTGCAACGAGTCTGTGCAGCGCTATGTCCAGGATTCCAAGATCATGTGCTGATGTTTCGCTGCACACTTGACCATCCATGTTGCACTCAGCAGTCACTACTATGCACGTCAGCTGCCAGTTCTGTGGATGACAAAAAGCCACTTGCATGGATGTGTGTTTGTTGTTGTGCTCTCACGGGAATTCTGTGCACTGTGGCAGATCAGGAAGGTGGACCGGGAGATCCTTGAAGCTGTGCAGCAGCAAAGCAGCTCAGACAGTAGGGCGCGGTGGGTGCACTGGTGGCAGCCAAGTGGGTCTGCATGCTCTTGTGCTAAGATTGTGAGCTAGGTTGTCACTCCAGTTGTTCGTGTGCAGTAAATCACCATTTAAGCTACATTGTCATGTGATTCGCACACAGCTTCCAGCTAGGAGTTGGTAACTCTGGCTAGTCTAGACTGGTTGGCCACCAGAAAGTGTATGCTTTCCTGCCTCCAAGTCACTGCTGGCTGGGCATTTACTCTTAACAAGGCAGGTTTGGAGTGACTTTTGGACACACAAGTATTACCCAAAAGCGGCCTTTGAGGTGCTTTAAAGGCAGAGCAATGCTGCTTTAACAAATGAAATCCAAGGATTGACCACACTATGCAAGTACGAAGGTCAGATGTGGCATCTCATATTTCCTGAATATTTCATATAACCTGAATGTCATTGAATTGCAACATGGAAAGTGCTATCTGAGATTGGTACTATAGCAAAGTGTGTGCTTTCCTGCGTTATATTTCAGCAAGGAGGTCATGCTAATCAGGATCTCCAAAACCCAGCACACATATTGATATGCAACTTGCCTGCTTGACAGACCACTCGCTGCTCAGCTGCAGAGTACACTGATTCCATGCTGAATACTCACGTACCTCACGTGGAGGCCCCAAGCTTCTGGCAATTGCGGGTCTGTGGAACTGGATTCAGCAATGTTTTACGTTAGGGCTTCTGGCCTTGTCAATCATGTGCCTTGATTGCAGTTGAATACGACGTACACATCAGTACTGTGATGCCAGACGGAACCGCTCAGGCCTGATCAATGGTGACCAAGACAACACCAAGTTGGGAACAAACATTGAAAGTTGAAACAGTGCCCAACATTGATAATCAGACATGAAAAATGTCCTTATTCAGGAGAATCATATCAGGAGAATCCAAATTCTTAAGGTGCACAAAATACATCAGAGTCCAGGAATGTAGTGTGCCACGGCCAATACGTCATTTGACATTTCATGTAAGGATAAATTCATTCATACACCTTATGACACCTGTGTCAGGCAGGAGCTGGGGATTGTCCGCGGCCAGATCCAAGAGCTCTTTGGAAGGATACATGATATCCAACGCAAGGCAGAGGACAGCGAGGCCATGGTGCAGGAGATCTGCAGGGACATCAAGAAACTGGACTATGCCAAGCAGCACCTGACTCACGCTATCACAGCCCTGAGGTGGGGGCACCGGTGCAATGGGTCCATTTGGCTTGCCAACCACACCTTGTTGCACTTCAAGAGTTGGTTGCTGAGTGGCTCAGGAGAGATTGCTGGTGAACGGTCAATGTTCTGGAGGCAATCGCCTATATCACAATCGGATGAGAATGCTCAGTGTGTCCATCTAGACAGTGAAAAAGATTGTAGGTTCTTGCGGACAGGCTGAATCGGAAGAGGCAGTGTGGTGACAGCATACAGCTTCACTCAAGCTGGTGCTGTTCACAGTGCTGCGTCAGTTGTCAATGCAACATCTGTGCTGATCTGAGGGTCCTTACAGTTGTTTGGTGACTGGCTGCCAAACATAGCCTCACAAACAGCAAGCCTACAATTAGCCTTTTCGAACACGATCAAGCTGTGACCTTTCTGTTCAAGCCTTGTCTAGTCAGAATTATTGATTCAGTGAGTGCTGGTGCTGGTGTTTCGCATCCAGGCGCCTTGCCATGCTTACAAAGGCAATCCAGAGCCTGGAAGAGCTGCTGTACCAGCGGGAGTCGTATCGCGAATGTGCAAACCTGCTGGAGGCAGTGTCCCAACTGCGCGATTACTTTGAGAAGTATGGGCACATACCCAAGATTGGCGAGCTGACGGGGAAGCTGGAGAACATTCGTAATGCACTGCGGGCTAGTGTGTTTGATGATTTCAAGACGTTGTGGGGATCTCTTGACTCAAGCCCTCCTCCAGAGACACTGGAGCGTCTGGCAAATGGTTGCCTTGTGGCGAATGCACTGGGCGTAAAGGTACAGAGTGGATGCAGAGATCAATGGGAGGGCTGAGGTGTTCGCAGCTCTCACTTTTCAGACTTGGCAATTGCCAGATGAACTCCTCTTGCAAACAGTACAGGTCAGGCCAGGATTCACAGTAGTACTCCTGATGCCATCCCTTCCAGTCATGGAGTGGTGGTCGTCATTTGTGTAGCAGTGTTTGAGAAAAGTTGCTTGAACTGTGGTCCCAGGTCAGCGATGAGCTGGTGGGGGTTATTTGCGACAGGGAAATGAGAATCTACCAGCAAATTTATGGTACTGTGGGAGAGGTTGCAAAGCTTGAACGCACTGAGCGGCGATACCAGTGGCTTAAGAAGAGGCTAGATGAGAGAGCTGCACAATGGGCTGTGTTTCCTGAGTCGTGGAGGGCACCACAGCTTGTCTGCATGGCCTTCTGCAAGGTCACGAAGTCGCAACTTGCTGAGATCCTGGACCAGGTACATGAGATGGTAGCGATTGATACATTTTGCAACAAGGCTCAACGAGGCATTAACCCGCACATGGTGCAGATTGTTCGTGTCAAGGGGAAAGCATTTGCAGCACTGCGCAGGGCAGCAGCTGCCCATGAACATTGGCAAATGAGAGCAACTGCACTATATTCAGGCTGTGTTATTGCCAGAGTTACTGTGTTTGGCACGGCCAACCATATCAAGAACAGCCACAACGTGCTGATTGGTCATGTTGAAGATTGTCACTTGAACTTGGTGGGGAGTATACCACATAGGAATCTCCGCAAACGTAGCTGTCACAGTCACTCAGTTGCACAGTGCTAAATGCATCAGCATCATGCCACTGTCCCCTATGTAGTGCACTGCAGTTCTCAGGATGTGTACTAAAACGTGTTGAAATTGCTCCCATTAGCAAAATGCAGATCAGTGTGGTTCTATTGCTAAGGGGCGATGTTTAGAAATTCATGCTGCTCAATGAAGTCCTTTGGCACAGTGTTCTATCTCAACACGTTTCTATTGGAAGAAGGTTTTGCCTTCCAGAACACCTTGCAGAAAACATTGCATATTGAGTTTGGAACCAGCGTGGGACATGACCACCCAGGGCAATGGACGTGGCAATTGAAACCTACCAATATTGATTGGAAGTGCACCAGCATGCTTTTTTGAGTTGGCTATGAAGGTAAATGCTTCATCGAATGATAATGTGAACTGGAGCAAAGCCTGCTTGGCTGGCAGCAGCAATATTGACACTTTGTGCTGAAAGCTATTTCGCAAGGGTATAATGGTTTGCGCACAAGGCACAACTAGTGGCTATTGCCGAGAGTGTACTGTGCTGTCACCAAAACTTCATCCATCCAATACATATGCTTCATCCATTTTGCTGGCCTATCCTCCCAAGAGGAATGCTGTTGTTGTGTACTATGTGGGAAGGTTTCATCTCTAAGCTGCTTTGCTTCCTTTGTTTGTTGCCATGCACAGCAATCTGAGGGTCTACGTGAGAACGTTGCCGGCCTTCTGAAGGCTGTGGTGGACACGAACAAGTTTGAAAAGGAAATGACAGCAAGGTTTGGAGGCGGAAAGATTGAGGTATTGACCTTGGCTCAGTTAGCAACCTGTGTGAGTTGCTGCCAAGTGGGTTATGTTGGATGTCAGCTGCATCCTGGTAACAACAGGAACTGAAAAATCGTGTGTGCAATTGAACAGTTGGATGGCCAATGTTTTCAGCGATTTGACGAAACGGTTTTGGGGAGTGGTTGACCAGTATTTCACAGCCTCAGCATGTCATAATTTGTCGTAATGGTGGAATTGCAATGACTGTTGCCTGCAGGCAGCATGTTGTAGGGCTTAACCAGCAGCAATTACACACAGTTGTGTTGGCTGCTTCTTGCTATGTTGTTCAGCCGCATGGCTGCTTCAATTTGAAGATATCGTACAGGTAGTCCAGTCCCATATCAATGTCTGAAATCAGGCAGCTACACTCATGTTCCACTGGTGTGCACGTAACGGCACCAACCTGAGGTGCACATCTGCCTTGAATACATCCATCTATTGGCAAAGCACTGCTGTTGCAGGTGCCTTGAACCCAATGATGGGCACATATTGCAACTTGGAAGGTATTGCCCTGATTGCTATCTCAGCAATCTCCATACAAAAACCCAATTAGAAACACCTTGCGATGTGCCTCTGCTGTCATTCCTTTGCATAGAGAACCCTGTGAATGCAATTTCTCGCTCCTTATGTGTGCCCTGCTGGAATGGGCCTCAAACCAACTGTGTGTTCAGACTGACGACACTTCAGTTGAAGAGGAAGAGGCTCCCACAGATGACAGCATGTCTGCGTCAGATGCCCGAAAGCGTCTGCAGGCCACACTGAAGAAGGCGAAGGAGATGAAAGCAATCGAGGATGGTGTGGAGCAAGAACCAACCGACCTTGCTTCTGCCAGCTTGAATTTCACAGACAGCATTTCACTGGTGTTCGAGAAGCATCTGAGGTGGGCATTGCGGTGTGCTTGCAAGTGCTGAAGAGGAAGTGCCCTGCACAAGCTGGTTATGTTAAAATCGGTGGGAGAGAATTACAATGGCATACATTACAGTGCCCCTTTGGCATTCCTAAGTGTCCCTTGCCTTTCTCACCGAGCCTCACAGCTCTATGGGGTGTCAAGCAATTTGAACAATCTTGTGCCTGTGACCACTTGCCAGTAGCTCAGGTTCCCTTAGTGCACACAACTTGCAGTTGAAAGAATGCCATTGCTCATATAGGACACCTTTCATTCATTGTTCCACACCATGGCCGCAGCCAGAAATGCAGCCTCGAGTTTGCAGGCAATCACTGGTTTGGTTCTGATTCAATGATAGAGTGAATTTGCCCGCAGATAATTTGCAGTTCTGATACTCTGCAATATCCGCTCACAGCTTCTGCCACCACGGGCTGGTGTCCACCACACAAATGCCTTTGCTGTGTGTTCTGCCATTTTTCATATCAATAAATATGGAAATTCTGCACTCGGTTTACCTGATGCCATGTCACAGCGTTGTGCTTCCTGTCCATCAAATGCATCGGTGGCTGAAGCCCCCAGGCATGCACGCGGGCCCAAGAAACTTCCCCAACTTGCAGCAACCAACTAGCACCCCTCTGGCAGATGTATGCTGAAAACAGGCTGTACTCAACTGGTGAGCATATAGTACAGGTCAAGAACGATTCTCTGCAGCCTCCTCAGTATAGTTAACTTTTTCATTCCACCTGTTAGGTATGTTGAATGACACACACTTCGACCCTTTCCTGTTGGTGCTGATCGTCCAGGTACTATGTTGATGAAGAGTACCAAGAGCTTCTGGACTACCTCCGGTCATGCATACAAGAAGAGGATGAGCGCCATTGGAGGCCGAGTGAAGAGGCGGGGACAAATGTGCTTCAGAGTGCAAACCAGATCTTCTTCAGGATTCGGAGCTCTCTGCAGCGCTGTGCTAAGTTCATATCCAGAGGGGAGCCACTATATTTGTTGTCAAGGGCTTTTCAGGTGGGAAAACTGTACTTCAATATCTCCAAGCCTTTGTTGTTGAATATTGTTTGTCTTTTTGGACCCCATATGGTGCCTTCAGAAGCCATATCTGTTGTTTACATGCAGTCGCAAATGTGATCGTTAGTGTTTTCTCCCAACAAGAACATGTCACACAGCAGGCCCAACCATCTGGAGCCAGGGTTTTGTGAGATGTTGTTCAAAAGGCTTTGAGTTGAACAGGGATAAGACTTGATGTAGAGTAGCATTAACAGTGAAAACGTTCAGACAGAAAGGCCTGTATGAGCATATGTGAAAGTTGGAGATTGAAGGTGGGACTGAGAACCGAGCTTAGACAGCTGCTGCTGCTGCTGCTGCTGCTGGAATAGGGCCCTGATCAGAGCACAGGCTTACCTCTGGCATGGACAAGAGTGTTGTCACTGGACCGTCACAACCTGTGTATGTGGCTGGAGGGCAGCCAGCTTTAAACATGCGTGGGACAGGTGGCCAATTGATTCGTATAACAACTCTAGATGCTTCAAGATTGGCCACATTGCCGTGGTCGGCACTTTGCTCTCTTTTCAAACTGTTGCACTGACAGGTTCCTCTGTGGCAGTTTATGTTGTGTGTGGATATGCCATTTTGAAGGGAGGGGCCTAATGATGCGTTCATCCCATATTGCATCAACGAATTGCTCTGGTGGTTGTCTTTGCTCTGGAAATTGGTAGATGGCTTAGCGTCTTGACTTGGGTGTCCCCCAGGGTGTCCTGGTTGGTTATGCTGGGGAGCTCAGGAAGAGGCTCCCCAAGACTGCTGGCGGGCTGACAACGGTTGGCAGCTCATTGCTTGGCGAGGATTGGCAAATAAAGCTGCCAATAGAGGAGGAGCAAGTTGTCTGCAGCATGCTGCATACAGCTGCACATTGCAGTGAAACAGTTGGCACTCTCAAGAAGGCCATTCAGAGAGACATAACCCCAGGTTATGCAGACCAGGTGTGATCTCCCTGCTGATGCAGTCGATTTATCTGCCCGAAGGACAGAATAATTCCTTTCCTTGTTGACAAGGTGCAGCAAGCCCCAGACAGGCAACAATGTAATTTTGTTTTGTTACACTGCCAGAATTGGCACAGTTGGCCAAGCACTATCGTCCCACCTGGAAGTTGACGGTATGCACTTTTGCAATTTCAGAATTATGTCACAGTTGTGGTCTTCACAGTCCCCATCATGATACCAGAAACCAAAGTTAAATTCACCCGCATTGATGAGGTGCCAAGCCTCATTGTGTGCTTTGATACCCTTGACGAATCGAAAACATGTGCCTCTGTTGTGCAGATCAACTTTGACAAAGAGGAAGAGCTGTTCCAGGGGCTGAGTGCACAGTGCCTCTCTGTTCTGGTCCTTGGCATAAACACCCGGCTGGATGCTGCATTGACGGAAATGACTAAGATTCGCTGGGATACCATCGAAGCCACTGGAGATGAGCTGAGCTATGTCAGCACTATCAGGAACGTCCTCAGAGATTGCGGCCCCAGGCTGGGCAGTGACCTTGATGAAGCAGACTTTGGCTTTTTCTGTGACAAGCTGGTGCACGGTTTTGTGCCTCGATTCTATGAAACGTTTTTCAAGCTAAGGAAGTAAGTTGCACGACTGCAAGGAGTACAATGATGTGCTGACGTGACGGCGACTAAACTCACCCAAACCCAGTGCTGCAGTCTGGCCTCCCCATGTGACCCCTAAACCACACTTGTGTGCAATGAACCTGGTACATCGTGACCAAAAATTTGTGTCAACCCTCCACTTTTGTCAAGCTCCATCTTGACAATGTGCCATTCTGAATTGCAATTCCACAGTCCTGTGCCATGCCTCATATCCATCCTCATGTCAACAGACTTCAGTTGGGTTCATCTGTTGCTGCGTTCTGAAGGCCACTCTGGGTCCTGATTCAGGGTAACCATAAAAGGAGCACTGCAGATGGCAATCGATGGAGAGGCCATCAAGACCTGCCTGCTGGGCTTCCCTCAGTCATCAAAGGCTGGAAGCGTGCTTCCCTCCTATGCAACCTTTGTTGAGCGGGAAATGGGGGCGGCCATCAGCCTCGTGAAGGTGCTGCAATCTAAACCTGAGAACCTCGTCGACAACTATTTGGTTCTCATGCCAGACAGTGCTCAGCATGTTGCCGAATTTCAAAGAGCGGTGGAGCTCAAGGTATGATGGGACACATCGCTTCCTTTATGCCCCCGCTGACCGTTCACACCCGGGTTTTTGCTAGCGGTCTCTTGGCAAGGGCAATGCCTGTTTTGATTGTTGGGAAAGGAGAATAGTGTTGCACTTTAGGCACACATGGCATTGCTTTCGCACACCCCTCTCCCCCTCCCCCTCTCCGTTGCAGTTGTGGTTGAACGTAGTCGTGTCGAAGCTGCGCAACATATCCCTGTTTTTTTTTGTCTTTTCCTTTTGTTGCTTGGTTTCCGAATAGCCTTCAGGAACACGGTGAACGCCCTCCGCATTTATGATCGCAGGCATTGCCGGTGCACTGGATCCACGTTTCTTGTGGCGCAAAAATCTAGAAGTCGGGCAAGGCATCCCGCTGTTGGATCGTCAGTGTATCAGACAAGCCATGCAGTTTTGCATGCACATCTTGGTTCTCAACTGTGGTTGGTTCGAAAACCTCTATGGTCGAAAGAGCAGTCCCAGGATGAAGACAACGCCAATATCCCTTTGTGTCTTGCAAGATACATCAAACGGTGTTTCCGCTGACACCACAAACACACCATCATCCCCTCTGCAGACCGTACCCGCAGACCAGCTGCTGTCGCTGGTGCGCACAGGATCCAGGCTTCGTGGCGATTCTGCTGATTCGGTTTGGCATTACCCTTTGTCATGAATAGGGCGCACTGTCCCGTCAGATTGAAGGACTGTGTGCATTGTCTTGCAGTCTCTCAAGAAGTCCCTGCAGGTCGACATCGTGAATGTCTACCAAAATCGCTTGATGGGCAAGTCGCCAGGCGCGCCTGCTGCGCTGTCGAGACCCGGCAGGGCGCCTGCGCACCCCCAGGCAGCTGGCCGGGGGGGATACATGGCCTCCTTCACATCCAGCAGTCGGGTATGTCGAACTTGTGTTCCTGACACGTCAACTGCAAAGTGGCGGTAATGGATTATCACGCAAAGAACCCGCAAGCTTCAGAAGTGCAAAACAGGGGTTTTGACGAAGTTTACAGCCCTTCTGTCCTGCTCTTGGTGTGGTGTTTTGTCTTGTGACCCTTTAGAGCGGGGAGTGGGGTGGAGCAGCGTCGTGAAACATGCGCGTTGGTTTGTTTCTCACCGTGGTTGTCTGTGTTGTTGCCCTGCAGAGCGCTTTGTTCAAGGGAAGCAAGACCATGCAGGAGACTGCATCAAGGACGCGGGAGAGCTTGGCGAGGATGGCGAACCTCATCCCATCTAGGTTTTCTGCAACAGGGCCGGATTGGACAGGACAATGAATAGATGTGGTTGTTGCGCATGTGGGTTGTTGCATTGTGAGTGTGGATTGTCGCCGTTGTTCTTTTCAATCAATGTACATGTACTGCGTCTTCCTCGTGTGCTGAAAACCTCCACTGTGTCCCCAGTCTGTATCCACATCCCCCTGAAAGGCACTGGGTGCCAGGTGGAACTGTGGTTGAAGCACGGAGGAAAGGGGGAAGGCACTCTGAGCAGGGTTCCTCAGTTAACCAATGCACAAGAATCGCTGTTGGGCGTCGAGTCTACGCTGGCGGGCACTCGCACGCCTTCTGCGAGATCGCACCAATGGCTCGCCATCCCTTGGAACTACTCACCTCCCTGTCGTTTTCGACTCCGTTGGCGCCTGATGCCATTCCTGGGAACTTGCCTGAGTAACCCCTAGCCAGCTATGCATTGCATGCCATATTGTGTGGCATACCTGCCACCGACAAACGCAGTGGAAATGGGGTGCGACGGACGTCAATGGCCTTCGAATGTTTGCCCCAAGTTGACGCCAGCTTAGGTGTCTGACAATAAACTCGTGCACGGGTAGGAATGTAGATTCGAAACTCATGCAAGGGCAAGAATGTAGATTCGAGGATAACGAAAGTCGTAAGTCCCATTTCCTGTCCCAATGACACTCCTGCCCAAACACTTAACAGTTGCACAGGATTGAACGTCCCGGCCCCTGTGTGTGCACAGTATCCCACTGTGCCCGTCAATCCCACAAAATGACGATGCTTACGCTTGAATCCTCTGCTCAACCCCGCCGGACTTCTCTACACTAATAGGTCAAGTAGTTCTTCTGAAACAGTCCCCTCAACCCTGCCACACTTCCTACACTAGCAGGTCTAGCTGTGCTTCCTGGACAGTCCCCGACTACAAAGACACCTTCAAGCGCCAGAACACCTGCACAGAGTACTGTACATCCACCACGATCATGCGTACCAAAAACTCGCATCATACGATGACATAATTATCAGAACTTGGTGAACATCTAAGCAAACAAAATTCCATCAATTGCTGTTGTTCCTCCGCAACCTGCACAAAACTCTGCCACCCTAGGTGCCTCCGTTCCAGGCTGGTCCAGTCCTAGCAATCCCAACATCCAAGCTCGCCCACAATGCGAGCCACCAGTGTCAGGCAAACTAGACGACGTGAACGTTCAAGCCCATGTTCCTGAGATTCCCAATGCGGTTGTTTTCGGCCTTGCACACCCAATGCAGCGTGACATCAGTGAGGTTCGTGACCTCGTTCAGCCGGTCGATCTGGACAGTCTTGAACCCCGTGGACCCCACTTCCAGGTGTGTGAGCTTGGGCAGCGCCGCCAACAGCGCAACGCCATCGTCAGTGACTGCATCGCACTTGTTCAGGTTCAGCCTCTCAAGCTGCGTGAGCTTGGCGATCACGGCGCATGTGGTGTCGTTGATGCCTGCGCAGCCCGCCACCTCCAGATAGGTCAGCTTGGGGTAGGCAGCCAGGTGCTTGATCCCCGCCACTGTGATGTGCCCGCAGAAGGAGACGTCCAGGTGCGTCAGAGAGGGCAGAGCCTGCAATTTCTGCAGCGAGGGATCCGACAGGCCTCCCTTGTGAGACAGGTCCAGATAGGTCAGCTTCGTCAGCGCCAAAAGCTTCGGCACCGTGATGTCGGATATGGCACAGGCACTCATCTTCAGGGTGTCCAGGTTGGTGAAGGTTGAGAAGACGTAGAGCGCCGAGTTGGAGACTTGAGTCCGCCCGACGTCCAGGTACACCAGGTTGGTGAGGCCATCTATGTCGTTGATGCCAATGTTGTCCACCTGGTCGAGGGTCTCCATCTCGAGGTGGGTCAGCTTTGAGAGCTTCCCAACGTGCTTCATAGCATCGTTGGAAACCAGGGTGGAGTCGTCAACTTCTGGGTCCCAGACAGATACGTTTGCGTACAGCGAAATGTCAAGCCACGTGAGGTTCTTCAGGTACTCCACATTCTTGATGCCCCTGTTGGTCAGCTCCTTGCAGCCTCGCAAGTTCAGTGTCTGCAGGTTGGAGAATATGCCCAAAGCGGGAATGAGCATGTCTTGGAACTGCTCACAGCCCTGCAGTATGAGGGTTGTGATCTTGCCAGGTTCGTCAGAGATCTTTGTAAGCCCTTTCCTCGTTATGACACAGCACCGTGAAGCGTCCACGCTTGTGAGCGACTTCATGTGCCTGAGGCTGGCCAGCTGGGAGTCTGTGGGCTCCCAGTTTGTCCTGTCAATGTCATTCCCCAGATCGAAGCGCACTGACACCAGGTTTGGGTACTGGCCCGCCAGCCTCTCGGGAACCCCAGACTTGAGGTGCCCTTCTGTGAGCTCCAGGTGCTCAACTGCAATGTCGACCCTTGACACAGTTAACTGCACCACAGCACAAACTCTGAGACCTGCGCTCGAACTGTTACAGCTGCTGCTGTCACTGCACTGTGCAATTAGTCCCCACGATGGCAAGTTGCTTGGCTACACAATCAGCTGGTCCAAATTCGTGCTTGGCGTTTCCTCAATGGGTTGCATACAAATCCAACACAAGAGGTTGAATGATTACAACCCCCTACTTTACAGCCACCAAGTTGTCTCAGAATAGGATATGCATTGAAAACAACACGACTGCCCAAGTGGCCATCCCTTGCCCGCTATTCCCGCTGCTCTCAGAGAGTTCTGCGCTGTCGTATGCACGTTGGACAAGAGTCTTGCGACACGCGATGTGCAGGAGAGGGATGTAAATTGTGCGACAAGCTTCCTTGCTGACTAAACGACAGCCATTGGTGCTATGCAGTGCCACTGTACTCTGCTGTGGCGGCAGCAAGCAGCTGCAACTGGCACTGTTGTTCCATCAACAAAAAGCAGATATGTTCCGCGATAGGCCGTGTTCCGCGGTAGGCCGCGTTCTAGAACCAACGCAGACTTTCCACCTACATTGCATCCACCCTCAAACAGCCCCACTCACTCCCACACGCACGGGAGTTGAGTGAATCTCTAGGAATGCGGGGCACACGTTCCTTCTTGTGTTTGCTGTGCCGGCAGTGGCCCAGCAGCGCTGAAAACTGCAAATGGGGCCGGCGCGTGCCTGGGTGGCGGGTTTTTCGAACGCGAGCCGGGATTTTCCTTGGAACACACATCGTCACGAACGATATTGGTACAATCGAGTGCAAGTATTCCCCGACACAAGGGCAGGATCTTACCCCAATGCCGTTGTTGTCCCCGCGGAAGAGCATCTTAGACAATCCGGTCAGCTTTCCATGCGTCGGCGTCTCTTTTATGCCAGATTCTGGCGTGCTCTCGGCGCCGGCGGACCCCACGCTGCGAGCGGCCGGGGCTTGCACCTTGCGCGTCTGCCTGGGGGTCGGGGGCTTCATTTCCCCGATCACCTCCACCTTTGAGCTCGAAAGACAGCAGCCCATGGCGGCCGACCGTTGTGAACGGCGATGAACACCTCCGATCCGTCTCCACACGGTCGATTGCCGCCGTTGCCTTCCGTTGGACCCTCGCTCCCGACTCGGTCTGCGATGCAAGGCGCGAATCTCAGGCGATCCGTGTGCCCAAGCCCTCCATCGCGATCCAGCCGATGCGCGCTCACAGGCAGCGACGGATCCGACTCTGCAGGCGGGTACGGCGGGGCGACCCTCGCGCCTCCCATTGCGGCGACCATCAGCAGACGCGCGCGCCCACGTGGCCGTCATTTCACGTTGTTTCGCATGTCGGTGCATGTTCGCCAACGAACAACGCGGCGCGAGATCAGACCAGGCACCTAATCCCCTCAACTCGCTGGGGCCCAATGCCGCCCCTTCTGAGTTGTGGAGCGTCGCTGCCCCGCAACCAGACGCTCCGGGCGGCTGCTCCCCGCCTATCCATGGGTCCGCCGCATCCATGAGCGCACCCCAACGTTCCCAGGGTGTGTGCATTCCACAAGCGCACGCTGAGACGGCGGCCTACCACGCACAGGGGCGTTCCAGTATCCCAAGCTCAAGCCCACGCCTCGCGTCCTCCCACCAGCCTCCCGCTCAAGTCCCCCCCTCCTATGTACCTCCCGAAGTGGGACCGGCCCAACCCAACAGGCCGGTCCCTAAAAAGAGTGTCTGACCCACGGCCACTGTGAACGTGTGACCGAGGTAGCTGTGGAACTACTAAATGTAATACGAGCGACCGACATCTGAGCACATATTCCCGGGAAGGGCGTGGGAATGCCTTCACCTTGATCCCTGCGCCCGCGTTTCTTGAAACCCAAAAGTGGGACCGCCCCTGCCCAACAGACCGCGGCCCGGCGGAAGAGCGACAAAATGCTGCACGATTATGACCGATGCTGAATCAAATATTCCAGGGACTGCTGAGGGTGCGCTGATGGGAACGGTGGGCCGCAGGGCACCCTTGGGCATCGATACTGTGGCCGGTGTTGCCATGAGCAGAAGTGAGACCAGCCTGCCTGGACAGCCCGCTGGCCGCAAGTGTGCTTGACGACGGGGCGTGTGCAATCGAGGCACCCGTGGAGGTACTAAATGTTGCGCAAACGATCTTGAGTCACAGGTATTGGCGCCGGGAATTGGTGGGCCGAGGGCTAGCCTTGAGCATTGTGCCCAAGGGCGCAGGGAGCCACTTCAGATGGCCGCACCCTGGAAAGAAGTGAGGGCAATCGCCGAGAGGGAGTTGGACGCCCTGAGGGTCGAGGCGGAGGGTGAGGATTGCTGCGTTGATGGGCTGCAGAAGGCCTGGAAGGAGCTCCAGGCAGTGGTGCAGGTGACACAAAGCGGCAGACCAGAGCGGCCTGAGCATTGGCCATTGCCCAGAAGGGTGATGGCACAACAGAGTTTACGACTGCCCTAGCCCAATTATGCCAGTTGGATACACCCCAATCCCACCTGTCAGTTTTTGGTGCCCCGAGTGCGCACCAGGCACACTTACTAGACGTGGAGGTGGACGCTGTTGTTGTGTGCTTGCATATGCACACAGTCAAAATGCACCTTTCACAGCGTTTGAGGTGGGAATGAAATTCACACTGTGTATCCCTCACATTTGTCAACGCCTGTCAAAGTACAGCCTGTTCACCTGTTTGGCGATACCGGGTAATGAGCACAACAAGACAATGTGCAGCAGCGAATCTGTGCGTCGTACTATTTCACAGAACAACCGACAAGCTGCCAGCGCAGCAAGGGCGGGTAGAGTGCAATCCCCGCACCGCCCGTGCGATTTGGCGCGGTAGTACTTCAGTTCACCTCATGGCTGCCGGACATCCTGTGTGCGCAACAATGCGATCCAACTGTCGATTGGCCAGGTGGCTCACGCACCCTCCTGCTCTGCAAAGTACTGATCCATGTTTCTCTTTTCTGTCCAGTCAAATGGTGGCATGATGCACGTCTCCACCCGGTTGCATGGCTGTGAAATCGAATTAGACATTGCATTATTTGTCACGTGTGGTGTCCAACCCATTTGGAAATTGCTCTGGGAGTCTCCAATCTTCGGATTCCATTCAGTTCCGCATTATTCGAACTGCCGCTCAAAGGCACAGCCACCGAAGAAAGTGTAATCTTGGCGTGTTGTTCCATGAGCGAAAGTCCTGCGCCCCAGCTCGTGTCTCTGACTGGCCACTTCACAGGACCAACCGCGACCAACGAATCAACTGCACACCCGTATCCTTGACGCCCTTCAAGCACTACTACAGCCCTGTGAAGATGACCCGACCCCGGCCACCAGCCCGAAACCTCTCCTTGGAGAAATCGGCAGGGCTCCCTCAATTCTGGTAGATGCAGCGTTACCCTCCGAAGACGACGCGTCGAGCGACGATGGTCATTTGCTGCCTTGGCCATTGGCCGCCACACAGGGAGAGGGGAACAGCAAAAGCGCCAGAGGGAAGAAAGGCTCTGTTTTGGATCTGGTGGAGGAGCTGATGGACAACGGCAAGATGCTGGAGGCATTGCAGGTGTTTCTTTCCCACCACTTGCCCTCCGCGGGATGGAGTGATGGTGAAGGTCTGGATGCAGATTCTGACTCTGAGGAAGGCACCAGCACAAAGGTCTACCTGCCCCAGAACGGGAAAGGAGAGGCTAGGATCAAGGTGCGCATACTTTGTGGCGTCAAAACCCATGAACCTGGGCCCAAAAAACTCACATCGGCGCAACAGGGCAGTCTAGCAGTGTGGTTCATTACCAAGCAGCCCAACAAGTGTTTTCTCCAAAAACCACAGCAAGGCTAGGCAAGCAAGCACGCATATACGCAGGTTTGTGTTTTTGTGGCACTCGAAAAAGAAAGGACAAGAGGCAGCGACAGCTGCACGGGAACTGCTGGAGACGGTGTGTCACGTTCTCTCAGCAATCTGCAAACGACCTGCCAACACCAGAGACAGTACCAACGACAATAGACCAACGTCCGAAGCAATATTGTTCAAAGCGCCCACAATTCATGTCCAACCTGCAGGAACACCCACTCGCTGGGAGCACTGCAATGCAATTGCAGTCAACTGCGGAGTTTCTAAATCCCGTCATGTGTTTTCGCACAACTCGATGCATGCAGGTCTTGGGAGACAATCTTAGGGGCTGGGTTGTAATTACGCTCCGAGACCAATGCGCCATATCAAAGACTCATGTGAACCCTCGCTACCACACGTCGGCAACGACAGCCTCTTGCTCAACTCAAGCAGATACGCAAGCAGCAGGCAGAAGAAACTCGTCGTGGTGTCAAGTTAGCATTGGCGAAAAACCAGCACACGAAGCAACGCTGATGGGCTACTTGTGGCACTTGAGCAGAGACCGAAGAGAAGCCTATTCTGCAATACTCGACTGCTTTCGGTAGGGTGGCTGGGCTCCCAAAAGGCACAACAGCTCATGGAATCCATCCCACCTGCAGACAGGCGGGCAATGGCACAAATGACAAGAAAGGCAAGATTGGCGTGTTGACGTGACAGGCACCTCAACAAATGAGGCATTTGGCACGCAGGGTCCATTCCGAGCTCAAGCTGTGAGCAGCCAAGAATCGTTGTTTGAGTCAGATGCAGCTGTTCATGAATTGCATGGCCACATGGAATGCCACCAACACGCAAGCAGTAACCCAGGCCTAACCATGCTCTAACTTTCCCTCACTTTCTTCAAGCACACTGCAGAGATGGGGATACAAGGGCATTGACGCCTGCAGACTACTTGGCATGGGCAAAGGACATTGAAACCTTCAGAGTGGGGCCTCTTAAACGACTGCGGCGTTCTTCCATCTGCCCATCCCTGCCGAGTTTTCTGTTGTTCAACACTCAGAAAAGCAGGCCACAGACATACCTACAGCTGGTGGGCCAGATGATCCTGATGAACATGGCGATGCAGCTACCAAGCCTGCTTTCACTGCCAGAGGTGGTACCAATCCATGTGCTGAAGGCCCTGTACATTGAGCCCTTGGCCCTGGCCATTGACAAGGTGAGACAGCGTGCCTGCGTCAAATCGACATCAACCAGAAAGCTGATCTCACCTAATACTGGTAGCTAGTGCAGTGCCGCAAAAGTCAACACATAGATGCATAGATGACTCACGCTTGAATGATTGAGTTCTAGAAACTACAAGAGAAAAACACATATTGGCATTCAAACATGCACTCCAACCTACAGATTTCATGTGCACACAACTTGTAAGGCAGCTTGCACCAGATGTTTCCAACAATGCAGCTGAAGAGGACTCTGTTGATTTGGATTTAATAGGCTCTTCGATGTTTTCTTGACGACTGCAAGGCTCATCTGGCAGCCTTCATTCCCGGCCTACAAGCGAACGCCGAAGAAAGAATCTTTCAACCCATTTATGCACCGCCTGGTGCAGACCTTTCCAATCGGCATGGTCCCAGCAGATTTTCAAGGTCCATCGTTGGTGTGGTGAGTGGCAGGCATACATGGACAGTCATGCGCCCAAAGCCGCCAGTCCATAAAATTGATATTTGGCACGCGCACTCCATAATCTGAGAGCCATGTGGCACACTGCGGACAGATCAGCAACATCTTCAAAGACTGCAGAGACTTCAAGGATGGTATTGTGCACCAATTCAGGGCTTCAGGAGTGCCTGAGAAACCCGTGGAACTGCTGGATACCTTCGACAGGGAGTCGATGGACGTCTGGGAGGCCGTGGGAAGCAGCGTCGGTACCAAAATTCACGAGTTCATTGGCGACACGACGCAGGTGTGACACCAGTCATGCGCATCCAATCCAGAACCCCCATCCGCAACTTCCTCCCCTTCAAGCTTGCCCTGAACCGTGAACCATTCTGCAGCCAATTGACAAGTCCATAGGCATCCGATTTCGCCGCCAAACTCCTTTGAGCATTCGCTTGGGCCGCATCACGAGAAGCGCTCCCTTCGTTCGCTTCACTTGCGGCGCAGCAAGCTGTTGAGCGGGAGGCGGGGGATGGGGTTGTTGCGCCAGGGCAGAAGCAGAGCCGGGCTGGT